TGTAGTTGTTGATGCAGACGTTTTCAAGTTAATTTTTCGCGAAAGGAATTAATACGCGGACTTAACCTTACAATCCGGAGTAAGAAATCAACTTTAAAATGTTGAAAGATTGTGCAAATACTATGCACCTCTTCGCTGCACTTCAAACACCGTCTGTTTACATGTGAATGGCTAGGGGCCCAAGCTAATGTCGAGTAAAAAAAAGTAGGTCATTTTTGAGATTGATTTCAGAATATCTCGAGAAAAATATGGAATTTCGGAATGAGCTTTGGTAGAAATGAAGAATGTTTATCTATGAATACATTTAAATAGAAAGTAGAATTTTAGAGCATGTGAATAAAAAATATTTTATTAGCGGAATTTGGTACCCTGTGTAAGAGTTCAGTACCTTTATTTTTTTTTTTACACACAATTTTTTTTTCAAGCGATCCAAAAGCCTGTGGCATGTTTAAATCAGCAATGAGCAACTGCATTGTATACACATCTTACTAATAATTAAAAAAAGTACTGAATTGATGGTTTTAATCGTAAATAAGAGTCGATCAGGTGACAGTTACATGAGAATCATTCAGTTTCCACATTTCCTCCGAGGCTTTTTTGAAAAAAGTTCACGTTTCAAGTTAAGATCAAATACAAAGAAAAATGAACGTTTGGGTATTAAATATATAATAAAAGGGAAAAATATGTAAAATTGAACAATGTAATATATATGTTGTAATTGTTAAACATTCACCGAATTTTTACCTATTTGTAATATTATTTCGTCATATAATCCTGTATGGCATCTGATTATTGAGAGCGTTAGTTATCACCATTGCTATATACCTTATGTTTTTAAGCATTGAATTCATATTTTTGGCTGTCTTCGGTCCTATAACACACCTGGCCGTGCCGACAAATTGAATACCGCGCGTTAGCGCGGTGTGATAAATTTGTCGGCACGGCCAGGTGTGTTATAGGACCGAAGACAGCCAAAAATATGAATTCAATGCTTATATTTACATTCTCTAATTTTCCTTCTTCATAATTGCTTATTTCGTTAACATTTAATGTGAATTTAGCGCCCTTCAAAACTATCGTGGTTAATAGACGTAAGAGCCGTTTGTGACGTCAGATGACGTTAAGTGACGTTGCAAAGTTAAATTACGCAAACAAACATTGCGATTTAAAAAGTGACAAATTAATTCTTAACGCTCATTACGTTAATTTCTACGTTAATTTTTCAGGGTTGTAGTTTTTCAGTAAATTGAAATAAGACATTTTACATTTTGGTGTTTTTAGAGTATTGAAAGTGTATATAGTTCCTGCTGTGTATTCTAACACGCGGTGACAAGGTTTCGCGTGTGTTATAGAAATTTGAACGTCGTGGATTTCTAATGGATTTGATAAGGAAAATTATACTGAATGTAAATATTCACATATGAATAGATATAATCATGAAAACAATTTCAGAATTATAATCTATGAGTTTAAGAACTTTAAAAAAATTATTCTTTTAAAATTACGCTTCTCAAATCGAACCTGTTGATTTCTCTGCTCCGCCGCCAAAATTGTGCAGTTTAAATAAGTGTCGTAGAAGTAAAGTTTAAGCATCTTTATCGTAGGAATGGCATAAAATTTAAATGAAGGGGACAATAAACTAAGTTAGGAAATTAATTCTTACCGACTTTATTGTTTCCAATGTCGTATATCCCAAATCACTGTTATGCAAGAATACAGAGCGAAAAAAAAGTCAATAACCACTAAATAATTTAATAAGTGCAATTATTAATTCAACAAAAATTAAAATCCAGTCACAGTTTACTAAATACAGCCATTATTCGGTCGTATTTGTGGAGAAAGCGAACGACAATCCATCGTTTGTTTACATCGGACGCCATTTTGCCGCAATGCATGACGGAGCCATAGACTTCTTTTTTGGAGTTCACGCCGTTTTCGGAGTTCGTCTAGACTGTTGACCAGGTCAATAAAAAATCTGCAAAATTGAAAAAATAAAAAATATAAAATAAAAGCCGCCCGCCCGCCTCGATTTTTGAAAAAATTCGGATGAGAATCTAGCAATTTATTTATTATAGCCTTACCAAATAATTCTGAAACTAATTAGGGATTAAAATGAGATATATGTACAGATAGGTGTATGTTTTATTTCCTATGTGTTAATAGCACTGGATCCGACTACAAATGCAGCCAGACATCCTTTAACATCGACTCTACATGAAAGTGGAGCCTTCTGTCTCCAGCTACATGCCAAGTTTGGTGGTGATCAGTTCAGGAGATACTCTAAACTCTTATGAGAGAAATCTGTGCAGTCAATATCACAGTTTCCCATCATCCCCTTCTCCCCAGGAAAACACTTTTCCGTCAGTCGTCAAGGCCAGTGAGTGTCTTCCACCTATTTCCATTAAACAAGAACAACGTGAGCATCAAAAATATTCCATATTTTTAACAATAATCACCATTTTTTAAAAAAACCTTTTCATCAGCTTTAATATTAAAGTTACCTATTGAACTACATTGTATATATTTTTATTATCTGTCAAATGATTGACTAAAATGATGTCATTTTCTTGTTGTTACCGGAATAGGCTGTCACTTTTTTGACCACATATTAAATGGGGCCTAAGGGTTTGGGGCCAAAAACCACTAAAATTAATGCAATCTTTAAAAATCTTCTTCTTTACTCCTCGACATCAAGCAGTCAAACTATTTGCATGATTGTAATCAGCATTGAGTCCTCTACCCAAATTGTAAAATTCCTGGCCCTAGGGTCAGGGGCTTAAGTGCTAGGGCGGGGCTAAATAAATATATAGCGAAAATGCATTATTTCTTTGAAAATCTTCTTCTCTGCTCCTGGGTATTAAAGAAACCAACTAAGTACATAGTTATGATGAGCAAGAGTGCCTCTACCAAAATTGTGAATTTTTTGCCCCCAAGGTCAGGGGTTCTGGTGTTTGGGTGGGGCTCTATTGATTATATAGTAAACATACATGATTTCTTTGAAAATCTTCTTCTCTGCCCCTGGGTATTAAATAAACCAAGTAAGTAAATAGTTATGAAGAGCAAGAGTGTCAGGGGTTTATGTCACAGTGTTAGGGGACACTTCTGATTATTGATGAATATAACTGATTAGTTGGAGTGCATTTTGTTCCCCTACCCTGTGTATGGGTATTAAGTAACCAAGTATTATGATCAATGGTGTCTTTTCAAAATTGTGAATGCCATATAGCATCTGGCTTAAAACATGAATCAAATTCAATACACTGTACCGGTAACTGGAAAGTTGTTGCATAATGCTCAGGTGACCTATAAGGCCCGTGGGCCTCTTGTGTTCAAATGCAGGGCCGCGCCCTCATTCAAGGGGAGATAATTGGGAATTAAGGATATACGATCCTTAGCCAGGAAGGATAACTCTTTAATTTGTAATTTAATTCCTAAAGTCTTCAAATAAAGCTTGAAATTTATTTTTTTCTTGCAACAATTTTCATTTTATGCCTCTATGAATTATTCAATGTTCTTTAAAGTTTTAACAAACGGTATTAAAAAAGTTGACATTTGTACCTAATAAGATTAAGTAAAACTGGCATATTTAAAAAGAATCAGATTTCTTTTAATTTAGCCTTAGTTACCAATGTTTATAAGCATGATTTGAAATTAGAAGTGATTTACGGTGTTTTCTTTGGAAGGAAACATTTCATACACTATGCATTATGAAACTATGGAAGTAAGTAGGAGAAAGTAAAGTACCAAGTAAGTGTAAAATTCATGCAATTTTCTTTAAAAGCCTGGATACCTATGATTTTTATTCTTAAAATGTATTTCTTGATCAATTATCAAATAAAATATACAGTAGGTAGTTTAAATCGCATTTCCTGAAAAATTATTTGAGATTTACTAATTTTCCCTATATAATATGATTAAATTGAAAGATGAAGTAAAAAGAAACACCATGGGTAAATACGTTTTAATATGAGAATTTAGAGACATCCTTGTTAGCATTTTCAATTACTCAATGCCTGATTTTCAGAACCTGAGGATCGGATAACCTTAATGAATATTTGGTGGTATGTTTTAAAAATCTTCTACTCAAGAACCACAGTGCCAGAAAAGATGAAACTAATGGGGAAACATCCTCAGCTAGTGTAGATTCAAGTTTGTTCAAATCATGACACCTGGGGGTAGGGTTGGGTCAAAATGGCCAACGAAATTTTTACATAGAAATATATAGAAAAATTCTTTAAAAATTTCTTCTCAAGAAATGCAAAGCCATGATTGATCATATTTATATGGCAGCTTCCTCAGGTAGTGTAGATTCAAGTGTGCTCAAATCATGACACCCGGGGGAAGGCAGGGCCACAATGGCCGACCAAAGTTTTACAGAGAAATATATAGGAAAATTCTTTAAAAAATCATGTTCTCAAGAATTACAAAACCATAATTGATCATATTGATATAGGAGTAATCCTCAGGTAGTGTTGATTCAAGTTGGCTCAAATCATGACCCCTGGGATAGGGCGGGGCCAAAATGGCCAACCAAAGTCTTACATTGAAATATATAGGAAAGTTCTTTAAAAATCTTCTTCTCAAGAATAACAAAGCCATAATTGATCATATTTAATTGGAAGCATCCTCAGGTAGTGTAGATTCAAATTTGTTCAAATCATGACCCCTGGGGGTAGGGGTAGGGGGTAGGAAATTCTTTGAAAATCATATTCTCAGAAGAATCATCTTCTCATGAATAGCAAAACCATAACTGGTCAATAAGGTTTACTTTTGGATTTAAACTTTTCAATAATCAAACCAGTTTCTACTTTTTCCTAGCCACAGTGCACAGGTGAGCGATGTGGCCCATGGGCCTCTTGTTTAAGATAATATATTTTAAAAGCATCAGTATTAAAATTAAATCACTTCACTGTAAGCATGATTTAATTACTGAGTATACGCATTCCATTGTAACTTTATAGTTACTGAAAATTTACTCATATCATTTAAAAAAAGAAGAATAGACAAGTATCTTTTAATTCCAAATTCTAAGAGGTGTTTATACAATGTTTTCCATTGAAATTAATTTACAGTATGTACAATTTGTTCAGTATAAATAATGTTCAATGGACGGAACACTATTCAGAATATACATTTCTGTACTGGAAATCACAAATTTAAGTTTTAGAATTATGTACGACTGATGGAATTATAATCACTTTATATACTTGTACACTGTCAGTGTATTGGTTTCTTTTTGTCCCACATAGAGATTGTTCTCATCATCCACACACACACTACAGGGATACTCTACCCCTTGTTGTTGTGTGAGTAATAGAGACAAGAACTGACCGTCCTGATCAAGGAGATGAACAGTGTTATTGAGACCATCACACACCAGGATGTGACCGAGGACATCAGTACAGATTCCACAGGGAGTGAACCATCTCCCCTGACCTGTGTAGGAAAATCTGTGTTGTCCTGATTTATTCACCACCACTACTGCCTTACCCCAGTGTGATGTACAGATATCTCCATTGAAGTTTTCTGTGATGTACTGTGGTATTCTATATTGTTCGAGTCCTTTGATATCCTGCTGTAAGTTCTGTAGTTCTTTCCCTGTCTTGTTGTACCTGGTGACTTTACCTTCTACACCCTTCATCATCCCCACCAGTAAGTCCCCGTTGATGTGGGAGGAGTGTATGCTGATTGGTATCCAGTCTCCAGTTTTAATGAATTCAGTGATATTATTACCCTGTGTTATCCTATTGATGACTTTCTTGTCTTTGTCTGTAAAGATCAGATCCCCGTCCTGTGTCACGGTGTGGTAAACTCCAGATCCAATGGTTTCTATCTCCTGTATCACATTCCCCTGTAGATCTATTTGGACAAGATTACCCCAAAAGTCACTGATCCAGAGTCTGTCTGATTGATCTAGTGATACATGGCGTACATGATTAACACCTGGTACATTGAACTCCCTGACCTTGGTGACAGAGGCAGACAGAGACAATGTTTGTTTCTTGTCAGATTTTTTGGGTTTGGAAAGAGCCATCTAAAATTAACATTGAAAAGTTTGTTACATGCATATGGATTTTAAAATTGTAATAGTTTTACATATTGTATTTAATTGTTAAGTTAAACTAAAATCAACTTCAGAAAACAATATACATGTATTTTAGTTGTCTGACCCCAGTCCCACTTAAAAGGAACGCTGCCATAAAGGTGTAAAGTTTGTAATCTATTCTGTTGTATCAAATCTGAGATTATCTTAGACAAATAGGACTTGAGTAAGCAAAATGCCATAGCATATCTGCTAGCTAGCATGCCAGGTACTTACTTTTGACACAATGGGCCTCTAAATGTTTATTTCTGTTCAGCAAACTTTGGAATGTACAGTGAAGGAGAGAGATTATAGTCGAGACTTAGACTTAGACGAGATCTGTAATTTACTTACTGGGTGGAGATAAATATAGATTTAAATCTCCTAAGTATCTGTACTTTAGTACCAATTGAATAATAGTTAAATATACAGGTAGTATGTTATTAGGGGGGGGAATGTTAGGAGGTAAACGTTTTTATTTTATAAAATTATATCCAAATTTTGTTATAAAAGATATATAATTAACGGGGTATGTGTAATTGTTAGCTTTATGAGCCAAAAAAGTAGTGGTAAGGTTGCTAAAAAATCTCAAGAACCACTAGATAGATTATCAGCAATATACTGTAAATCACTTTTTATTCGCTAGAACTTTATTTTTGGGTAATTACGCGAGAAGGTTTGCTAGCGAAAATGTCATTCTCGTGTATAATAGAATCCCGTAAGATTATATAGAGCAATAACCACAAATTGCGAAAATTTTGTCTCCTTGATAAAGAGTCAATGACTATCTCATGAAAATAAAAACTGGCGCAGTGTCGCAAAAAGTAAGTGATCTAGAGTACAAGGATGAGAATATGTTGTAGATTAAAAATTGTTCAAGGCATCACCCTGGGGACAAAGGATATGGTCTTAAGGTGCCGCTATAATGTTGACCAAAAGTTATGTTTTTGTTAAAACTTGGATATTTTGCATACTAGGCCTATAAGGACTAGGGATATCAAATCTTGTCAAGGCAAGACAAAAATAGGGTGGGTCATTAAAAACTTCTTCTCAGGAACCACTGTGCCAGAAAAGCTGAAACTTAGGTGAAAGCATCCTGGGGTAGTGTAGATTTTAAATTGTTCAAATTATGAACCATGGGGGGTAGGACGGGGTCATAATGGGGAATCCCTGAGTTTTACATTGAAATATGTAGAATTTTTTTTTTAAAATTCTTCTTCTGAAGAACCATGTCACCTGCATGGTGCAGTGGTTAGAGCATCTGCTTTAGAGTCGCAAAGTAAGGAGTCATCCCTACCTCGCAGGTACGAATCCCATTGTGGGATGTAGAGACAGGTTCTTCGGATGAGACCGTATAAGCCAGGGTCCTGTGTCACAGTAGGTGCTGGCACATTTCCTCACTGCTCAATGGCTTTATGTGCAGAGTGTAGAACAAAAATGAGATCTCCATTGACAAGTGGTAGCATCTACATATGAATGAAAAATTCTTGAGAGGGATAATGAAAAATTCTTGAGAGGGATGTTTAAAACAGCATACAATCAATCATCTCAAAAACCAATGGACCAGAAAATCTGAAACTTACAAGTAAGTGGAAGCATCCTTGGGTAGTGTAGATACTAAATTGTTCAAATCATGGCCCCAGGGGGTACATGTAGGGCGGGGCCACAATAGCTATTGCAAGGGGAAATCAGATGAAGGACCAAAGTTACTCAGGTGAGAATTGTGGCCCATGGGCCTCTTGTTGTGTTTTGTAGTCCACCTTCATTGAAAAAATCAATCTTTTTTTTGAAAAAGTTGCTTTATTCTCGATGCATTATTTTAATTTAGGTCAAGGCCTTGGCCCATCAGCGAGTGGTACAGGTGGCCTGTGGCAGTCGGGACGCCCAAACCCTGGCCCTCACAGACGAGGGCATCGTCTACTCCTGGGGGGACGGCGACTTTGGAAAACTGGGTCGAGGGGTAGTGAGGGTTGTAATGTCCCTCATGAAGTAGAGAGACTGAGGGATCAGAAGGTGTGTCAGATTGAGTGTGGTGCCCAGTTCTCATTGGCTCTGACCAAGTCTGGACAAGTGTGGACATGGTGAGCATTTATTCCATAATGAATATATACATGTACTAGATATGGCTTACCTTTGAATTGCATGTGTCTGTGCTTGATAAAAAATGAAATGATTCCATTGCCTTTTACCAATCAGTTTGTCAAAGAAATAGTACCTACTAGTAAATTATTTTTGCAGCAGCTTAAGATTTATCAGGTCACAGAAATAGAAGAGGAATTATAAAATAATAAATTGATGCACTTCATTTTATGTTTTTAGGGGCAAAGGTGACTATTTTCGATTGGGTCATGGAACAGATGCTCATGTAAGGAAGCCTCAGATTGTGGAGGGACTGAAGGGGAAGAAGATCGTCCATGTAGCCGTGGGGGCCCTCCACTGTCTGGCCGTCACTGACACGGGGCAGGTGAGTCAAATGTACTCAGGTTTTACAGACCTATGGGAGATATTTAATATATAAGGTAAACTTGGTTTACTTTTACATTGAAGAAAAGTAAACATACATGCACATCCACAGCTTGTTAATCACTATTCAGTCTTCTGTATCAAGAACCAGGATTAGATGGATGGTAGTTTACTGCCCTAATAGTTTTTTAAAAATATTTTGAAATACAATAATTGAAGGATCTGAAATTGTTTAACATTCTCACTATGAATTTTTTGTCTAGGTGTATGCTTGGGGAGATAATGACCACGGACAGCAAGGAAATGGAACCACCACGGTCAACAGAAAGCCGGCCCTGGTGGTGCTGGAGGGGTACAAGATCAGTAAGGTGGCGTGTGGTTCCTCTCACAGCATTGCCTGGGCCACCACCGACATGTCTGTTCCCACCACCCACAAGCTGGTACGGTTCTCCACCTCCAGGGATCCCTTGGGGGCAACACTCCTGGGTATGGATTAGGATTACAATTCATTCCTGTTTTATGAAGATTTGACTAATATTAGGGGGAGTACAGCAGAAAATGAGGGGCATTCAAGATGAATTTTTTTAATTTCTTGTGCATTTCTTTTATAATGTAAAGCTGTAATGTTTTTTTCCCTGTTGATTGATAAAGGTGTGAACGAGAGCAATGCAGAGGAGAACTCGGTATCTACCACAGCCTCCCAAAACTCAACATCCAAAACTGTACGTCCATCTCTGGCCAAAATCATTCTGTCACAGGACACGGACACCAGTAAACAGCAGGCCCTAGGTTACATACTGACTGCTTTACAGATTCTCTACTCCAGGTAATGGATTCCTGGTCTGTCTGAATTTATTTGATAGAAAAGGGAAGTACAGTTAAACTGGTTAAAATATACTGTGAACTTAATGGATGTCATGAATTAAGTTTATCAATAGACCAAATAAATTGTCTAGTACTGTAAATAGTGGGAGGGTGTAAGGAAGGACCTAGGAGGGGGCTTGACTCAGAGATGTAAAGGTTTGCTCTCATTTAGAATTCAGATTTACACCTTCTTAGTGTTTGTTGTTAATGATTACTGTACAAGTATATCTCTGTTTTATAGTCCCTGTGACAGACCTCGAGTGATCGATTCCCTGAGAGGGAAGGAGGTGGTGGATATAGCAGCAGGAGGGGCACACAGTGCCTGTATCACAGCTAACGGGGAACTGTACACCTGGGGCAAGGGACGATACGGTCGCCTGGGGCACGGGGACAGTGAAGACCAGCCCCGCCCCAAACTGGTAGGTTGGCATGGAAACTTTTATTCTGAAAGATACATTTGGTTGTGATTGGCTAAGTGTACTAAATAAAGCAACATTTCTTCATGGTATTCAAAGAAAATCATTTTAAAATTTTATTTAATTTTAATGTATACTAATTTTGCAAATTTTTTGTCTTTAACTTTTAGGTATAAGACTGAGTTTTATTGATGTGATATATTCTTTAGAATGATGTCATATTCTTTTTTCATTCTAGGTGGAGGCCCTGAAATCCTACCGTGTAATTGACGTGGCGTGTGGTAGTGGGGATGCCCAGACTCTGTGTATCACTGATGATGACAATGTCTGGTCTTGGGGAGATGGGGATTATGGGAAATTGGGTAAGACCTTGTTTCTCCTATTGTATATTTCTCATCACTTTTGATACATACAGTGTACCTGTATGTGTTGTATGTGCATGTGTATCTGATTCAGATATATTTGTATTCGATATATAGATGATTCAGATATATTTGTATGTGAACACTTTGAAAGTCTGTATTTGTTCAAATTGCCTTTTCTTCTCTGAATCCAACTGCAATGCAGTAATCCATTAGGGGAAAACTTCAGTGTCTTAAAAACAGCTGATTTGTGTGTTTTTAATAGGTCGTGGAGGAAGTGATGGCTGTAAAGTGCCAATGAAAATCGAGACCCTTATGGGTCAGGGGGTCATGAAGGTTGAGTGTGGATCTCAGTTCTCTGTGGCGCTCACTAAAAGTGGAGCTGTCTTCACGTGGTAAGGAAAACTGTTATCACTTATCGAATGGTGCTTTGGTTTGAAGTATTACTACATTTGAAAAGCCATATACATACTGTAAACCAGCTATGATTATTCAGGTCATCTGTTATTAGCAATTCAGTAGTTTGAAATCTGTCTATGACTTACTTTATGAATCTTAGGAAAAGCCCTCTACAATATACAGCAAAAGAAATGGTTTGCAGCCATAAATATTTGCAAGTTAAGGAAGGTGATGAAACATGCAAATATTTATCACCCACAAATAAAAGTTGGTTTTCAGTACATGTAAAAATAGTAATAATAAGTTTTAATTATATAATTTGAAGTTTCCCCCTTTCTTTCAAATTTTCGGTGGATCCATGAGTAAATATTCTTCAGTCAAATTGGTTAAAACAACTTGTTCTGCTTTAGGGGTAAGGGAGACTACCATCGTTTGGGTCACGGATCTGATGACCACGTCAGGCGCCCCCGCCGAGTGTCAGCTCTCCAGTCTAAGAAGGTCATCGACGTGGCCTGTGGTTCCCTCCACTGTGTGGCCTGCACTGATACTGGTAATGTGAATAAAGATATTGTAATTGTAAATGATAACTTATAGTATTTATCCCATCTCAATTATGCCCTGTTTATAGCAAACCTGATTGAGATATATCAAATATCATACAAGGGGAAATTTTAGAGAGATGCAAATTTAGAGATTTGTCCTTAAAAATTGTTATTTTATTTCAATGCAATTTTAAATAGCTCACCAAAGAAGCAATTTCAACAAAATCGCAATTACATGTAATTTTTATCAATATTCAATTTTGATGATCTCAGCGACCTTCCTAAAAATGCCAATATTTAATCCTCACTAAAAATTCTGCTTATATATGGTATTACCAATATATGTGTTAACACTCTACATTCTGTATATTAGGTGAAGTGTTTTCTTGGGGAGATAATGATGAAGGACAGTTAGGAGATGGAACCACCAATGCCATCCAAAGACCCCGCCAGGTGGTGTCACTGCTTGGTATGTACTACTTTCTTTTCAACAAAATTTTTCTTACAACTTGTAGTCAACAACACTTCAGCACAGAACTTGTACATAATCAGTTGTATTTAATGGATGTTAAATTACTGGCAATGTTTAATATTTGTGCATTTCATTTTTCTCTGATTCTAAGTGTTTCTATGAAAAATGTACATGTAGGTAAGAAGATCAATCGTGTGGCCTGTGGCTCCGCCCATAGCTTAGCCTGGTCCACCAACAAAGCGGTCAGTGCCGGTAAACTGCCCACCGCCATCCCATGGAGTACAACCACCTCCAGACCATTCCTATCACCGCCCTGAGGAACCGCCTGATGCTGCTCCACCACTTCTCTGACCTCTTCTGTCCCTCCATTCCCATGTTTGACCTTCAGAATAGAAGTCAAGGAGAGGTCAGGAATGACATCATCACCGGACTGGACAATCTAAGAGGAGTGATTGTGTCCTCAGTCAAGGTATTTATTGTAAAAGCCAAGACATCAAGGAAGTCACCAAGACATCAAATTTTACTTTCTTATAACCAAGATCCTCTATATCTAAATAAAGAAGGAAGATGTGTTACCTCTATAATTATATCTGATGACTTTTTATGGGATTCATAGAATTAACTTTTTATCAGAGATTACCTTCTAAATGAGTTCTTTATAACTTTTTGTTGCTATTTACCTTAGTCACTGGAAATTAGATACTAGTACTTATTATAAATAACACCCTTAGATTTTTTTATGTGTAAGGGAATGCTTGCTTTCTCTACAAGGAATAAATGATAGGATGGTGATAAATTTTTCGTATTTTTGAATAAATAGGAAGCTGCCTTCAGAAAAGTTGTACAAGCCACCATGGTGAGAGACAAACAGCATGGACCGGTGGTGGAACTTAACAGACTACAGGTATGGGAGTGTACACATATTATTAGTAAGGAATGGTCAAGATTATAAATAAAGGTAGTAAGGGAGGATGCTGTAGTAGAAAATTGACATTTAATTAGTATATAAGGGGAATGTTTCATAGAAGAGAAAGGAACACTTGATCCATGCACAGATTCTTCAGTGCAATTATTTTTATCATTCTGCACAAATATCTAATGACCATGACGAATAGTTACTGGTTGGTCAAATTTTCAATTTCACCCCATTCCGTTATCATATACATGTACATGTATACCAGCAGTTTAAGATAATATACATGTGCTGTGGATGATAGTACCTTTTCTCCTTTGACTTAGGTGAAGAGAGCGCGTAGTAAGGGAGGGTATGCTGGCCCGGACGGCACTAAGTCCGTGTTTGGACAGATGGCCAGTAAACTGTCATCATTTGGAGCAGACAGTCTGATGTTACCACACAGGGTCTGGAAGGTCAAGTTTGTAGGTCAGTATCAGTCTTCATTCCATAAAGAATGAAATTTACATTCAACCCTTTAATATTTAAGCATTTTTACCTTAGATTTCTCGGTGTTTGAGATAATGAGGTTTGTAAATGAAATCAATATACATGTAAAAACTGAACAGATTAATCTTGCCTTGATATAAAGAATCGAAGTTATTTTTATTATTTAATAACATACATGTATTGTAAATAATTATATAAACTGAGCTTTATCTGTATAATTTCAATGATGCACAGAGACTAATTTTGAACTCTGACCTTTAGGGGAGAGTGTGGACGACTGTGGTGGGGGGTACAGTGAGTCCGTGGCTGAGATGTGTGACGAGTTACAGAACGGCTCCCTCCCCCTCCTCATCGTCACCCCAAACGGACGGGGAGAGTCCGGGGCCAACAGAGACTGTTTTATCTTCAATCCCATGGCCAAATCTCCAGTGCATGTCAACATGTTCAAGTTCTTAGGTATGAGTTATTTTCATTACTTAATTAGCATCGTTTTCAGGCCAATTATTTGTACATTGATGTTGTTCAAAAATCATTTGAGTTCTTTGAGAAAGAAGCTTATAAATTACCTTGATATGAAACCATATTCAAATTTAATTTGTTATTGCTTAAAAATATAATCAATAGATACCATGATGAAATGATACAAAGAGAGTGAAAAGGTGTTATTGTATCATTTTCATTCAGGTAAGCTCTTTATTAGTGTTTTGCCTGTATTTTGTAGGTGTGTTATTTGGCATAGCCATTAGAAGTGGGAGTCCCCTGAGTCTGAACATTGCAGAGCCTGTGTGGAAACAGGTGGCTGGGATGCCCCTCAGTATATCTGACCTGGCAGAGATTGACAAGGACTGTGTCCCAGGTACTGTAACAGTATAAAAAAAAATTCACCCCCACAATTGTTAAATTATAAATAATAAAAAATGAATTTTAAGATAAAATCTGTAAAAAAAAGGAAAATTGTGATATATCTTTTAAAACATAGTTTTAGAGATTTAAAAAGGGTATAAATTGTTTTAGGAAGATGTTTTTGGGTCAGTATTTAATGAGTGAAAAAGTTGGAATGCTTGTCAATGAATGACACATTGTTGATTTTGCATTTTAGGTCTGATATGCATCAAAGATCTGACAGAGAAACTCCAGGCCGTAGAGATGCCCTTCAGTATCCCCAGCTCTTCTGGTCAGGAGGTACAATTGTCAGCCAAATACAGCAAGATAACTCCCGCAAATAAAGTGGAGTACATCAAACAGGCCATTAATTACAGGTAAGAAAAGTGTGATCCAGAAATGTTTATGAACAGTATTCAGTTTAAATCTGCATTAATATTGTGCTTTGTACATGTATACCAGAAAAAAAGATAATATACATGGCTGTGGATGATATCCCTTTCTCCTTTGATTCAGGTGAAGGAGAGTAACCGTAGTAAGGGACTTGCTGTATGTAGTGGCAGAAACAGCACTAAGTCCCCCTCAAAATGGCCAGTATTGCTGTCATCATTTGCTGACAGTCATCGGTAATGTTGCACTCAAAGAGTGTGTGGAAATATTTATGATACCTGGGGTCAATCCATGCATGAAATTCAGTTGATTTATTTTAACAGAATGAAATAAATGAGTCACTATAATGAATCCATGTTACAAAACTAAGTTGCTTATGCTTAATATAATCTTTTTACAGATTGCATGAATTTGATGACCAGGTCAGGTGGGTCAGAGAGGGCATGTCAAAGGTCATCCCAGTACCCCTCCTGTCACTGTTCACTGGACTGGAACTGGAAACCATGGTAACTGAAATCCTTAATTACATTTATTCAGATTCATTTATTTAGAACAAAATTTTGCTTGCTGTCAATAAATTGCATTGAACATGAGTCCAAATTTTATTAGATGCAAGAAAAAGAGTTTTAAGAAAGTAAATTTTTATGGACTGTAAAATTACTTGTTTTTACGGGATTAAATTTTGAGATTTTATGGAAAAATTTTGATTGAAGAAATATGGTAGACAAACATAATATTAACATTTGTATCTGAACAATTTCAACAATGCACAGAGATTATTTTTGAACTTTGACCTTTAGGAGAGAGTGTGGATGACTGTGGAGGAGGGTACAGTGAGTCCGTGGCTGAGATGTGTGACGAACAGAATTCCTAATTGATTTGATTTTTTTTTTAGTTTGGAGAGAGTGTGCCCTTGGTATCCCCCTCTGTACCTTGAAGTCGGTGGCACGGGGAGAGTAGAGGCTAAACAGAGACTGCTTTATCTTCAACCCCATGGCCAAATCTCCAGTGCATGTCAACATGTTCAAGTTCTTAGGTATGATTTTTTTTTACCAATATGTCCTAGATTTTGGTTTAAGTGATTTTAATTCTATAAGGAAGAAACTGATAAACTACCCTAGTGCTTTAAAATTAAATTTAATACACCATATTGCAAAGCAAAAGATAGGGTGGCAATACATTACAAAAAAAGGGAAAAAGATGTAACTATCATTTTCATTCAGGTAAGCTCATTTTATGTGTTTTACTTGTACATTTCAGGTGTGTTATTTGGCATAGCCATCAGAAGTGGGAGTCCCCTGAGTCTGAACATTGCGGAGCCTGTGTGGAAACAGGTGGCTGGGATGCCCCTCAGTATATCAGACCTGGCAGAGATTGACAAAGACTGTGTCCCAGGTATTGAATAATTTCACCTACCATCAATTGTTGAATTACTTAATATTTCCAATTTGATTTTTATTTGTATTTCCTTAATTTATTGTGAATTTTCTTTTGGAACACAGCTTTGGGGATGTAAAGGGTGAATAAATTGTTTTATTGGCTGATGTTTCTGGGTATCAGAATATTTTGAGTGAAAAAGTTGGTATGCTTGTCAATGAATGGCATTGTTGATTTGGCTTTTTAGGTCTGATCTGCATAAAAGATCTGACAGATGAGAAGCTCCAGGCCGTAGAGATGCCCTTCAGTATCCCCAGCTCTTCTGGTCAGGAGGTACAATTGTCAGCTAAATACAGCAAGATAACTCCCACAAATAAAGTGGAGTACATCAAACAGGCCATTAATTACAGGTAAGATTAGTATGATCCAGAAATGTTTATGAACAGTATTCAGTTTAACTCTGCATTGAATGTCGTGCTTCATTATACTAAGAAAAAAGAGAGAGAATTTCTTGGAAGAATGATATCCCTGTGTAAAGAATTTGAAGGGGATGTAATTGTAGAAAATGGGACTCGATGTATGTAGTGGCAGTATGGTAAACAGCTCTTAGGTCTCAAAAAAGGGATTGCTGCACTATGCTATACTCCTGATCAGTCACTTGAGTGCACTCAAAGAGTGTGTAAAAAGTATTTTCATGACATTTGTATGAATTAACTTGTTATCATTTTGCTAGAATTGAAGTATGATTTTGACATCGAGATGGAAATGTTTTGAGTCACTAGTTACAATGAATAACATGTACAAAGGCATAAGTTGCTTATAAACATTTCATTTTTTAAATTACATGAATAATTATTCATCAGAGGGTCAGAGTAGCTCTGATTTTTCATCCCAGTAGTCTGTCACTGTTCACTGAGCTGGAATAGTTTCTTCTCAGGGAAGTAGACAGTTTTATGATATTAATTTCATATAGAGAAATTACAGTAGAGGTATAATTAAATTGTTTAAAATCTCACCATTTTGTGAAGGACATGAAATCATGAGTCTATTTACCATAGGAAAACAACAAAAAAAACTCCATTTCCAAAAATGACGATGTCACAGTATTTTGCTCAAGTCTTACAATTTAAATTTCCCTATTGTAGGTATGTGGTAGTCCAGACATACCTCTGTACTTACTGAAGTCGGTGGCTACCTATAAAGGTGTGGACGCTAACGCCCCCCTGGTGACCTGGTTCTGGGAAGTGATGGAGGAGCTGTCTAACAATGAGCGGTCCCTGTTCCTGAGGTTTGTGTGGGGCAGGACCCGCCTCCCCAGGTCCATCGCAGACTTCAGGGGGAGAGACTTCGTCCTACAGGTCAGTTTTGATAGAGACTCTGATTATACCCTAAATATGGAATTATTGCACTGAAAATATCTGTAACTGCACATCATTACATGTACAGTGGAACTTTGATATTTCAAACAAAGATACCTCAAATACTTCAAATATCTTGAAGTCAGTTGGAAGTCCAAACTTTGTTTTCTTAAATGTTTTTAACTTAGTATGTGGAATACTTAGAAATCAGTCAAAAGATTTTCTTCTTTCCTTTGAGTTTGTGGTAATAAGGTTTCACTGTATATTTTCAAGAAATCATTAAAAACAATCCAAATATATTTTATTGATTAATTGCTCTGTAAATCTTAATAATATGTGCACAGTGTATATTGAATGTTGTAAATGAATACCAGTTGAAGTGAATTTTAACTGAAGAAGATGATACAGTTTAATTATGATTGGCTTATTTTCCACAGGTGTTGGATAAATATAACCCACCGGATCACTTCCTGCCAGAAAGCTACACCTGTTTCTTCCTGCTCAAGATGCCGCGTTATTCCTGTAAACCCGTGTTACTGGAAAAGCTCAAATACGCCATACACTTCTGTCGCTCCATAGACACCGACGACTACGCTCGGGTGGCTCTCACGGGGGAAATTCTCGTGGACGATACCCCGGAGGCCAGCGATGACTCGGAGGATATTTATAGCATGGAGTCGGACGGGGAAATTGTGGATTCCGACTCCAGTTTGGTGTGAACTTCCGTGATGCTTTCTAGTCTACATAGCACAGTCTTGCAATGTTTTTATTAACCTTGTTACATAAATAAAAATAGTTGGACGTTATGTTTACAGTTGCCTGAAAAGAATTAATAACATTAAAATACGGACAAGATTTTTGTTACAAAGGACAACAGCTAATAACCTGTTAGGCATATGAATTAATTTTCAAATGGAAATACATGTATGTCTGTTTTAAGTTTTATTTTTCAAAGTTGTAGCCAAAATGTATTAATTTTTTAATTCCATTGCTTTATTTTTAACAGAGTGATGCAAGTGGTAGCTAATATTTTCACTTTAATTTAATTATGTATATTTATTAGTACTAACAAAGTTTTTTTTCTCTTTTACTTTTTGGAAGATAAAAACACATACATGTATATTTATTTGCAATGACAATTACATTGAAGTATAAATAGTATGTCCCAGTGTTGGTATTTAATTACCGGTAGGATTTTTTTTTTTACATGAACAAGTCATATTTCTGTAAATATTGTTAATGAAGCATTCAACTTTTGTATAAATAGCAAAAGATTTATATTGTAAATATTTCTAGGTAATAGATAAACCAAAGTCTTATCAAATAAAAAGTCCTAGTTAGTATATTTATTGCTGATAGAGCATCAATCTTCATTATTCCTTGAAGTAGTCAATTTTAAGAACAAGAACTTGCATGAACACCATGAAAATGTGGTGAAAAACATTTTTTGCAGTGATATGTTGCTAGTTTTTTGTTTTCAGTATTGTAGTGTAGTAGTTTATAAATCAATCTTAATTCTGTGTTTGGAATTGTTTTATTGCATTAATATTTGATGCTATGTATATATACTGATATTTTACAAGGCGATTGACTGTGGTTAATGTATTTTGCCGTCTCTGTAAGAGACATTGTAATTTTAGCAATTTTCATTGCTTCAGAAATCTTATTACTGATACATGTATCTATAACTAGAAACACAAGTTGATTATTTCATAATATTTACTATAGTTGTAATTTCATTTAGTTATTACAATTCTTTGAATAAATAAATTTCAGTACAACTTTATTGCCGTGATAAAAATTTCAAATTGTGCTCAAAACAGAATTGTTTCTTTTTTGGGTGACTGCTTATATGTCTGAATGGAGAATTTGAGAAAGGTAGTTAAGTAATGGCTTAAATGCTTTTTAATTCTTAAAATTGACACCTATACCATTACTTTCATACAAAATGAGAGTTTTAAAACTTTGAAAGACGACAAATAAAATAAAATTTATGTCATGTAAGTTAATTTTGAGCAGATTGTTTGCATTTAGAAACCATGATAGAAAACTCTTTCCAGTCACAGTACATGGTACAGCAGTACATTATTTAGCACCTAGTGAAATGTAATGTGAAAAGTTATGATAAAGTTTGTCAAAACTCTGTATATTATTTATGCTGTGTGTTTGAGTTTTGTTATGAATCATGTATTTTGTTTTTAATTATAAATTGTTATTAAATGTACAAGAGTCCTTATGCTTTGATTTTTTCAAATAAAAAATGTGAAAACAAAATTGTATGTGTCTATTTTTATTTCCCAATTAATCAAAGATATGGGGGCTTACTGTTTTTGCTCTAGAACAGCTGTCTGTCTTTAAATCTTACACCTAAATTCCAATAACTTTACACTCATTGGCACTATGGATTTCATATTTTACATATGTATTCCTTGTGACATAACTTTTCACCTTGACCTCTGACAAACTTTTATCAAACTTTCACCTTGGCCATATGTTTTGAATGGTTTATCTTAGGCCTATCATATAACATAAGTGTAATCCTTGTTGAGATTTGACAATTTAGCCCTTTGACTTTGAAATTGGAGTTGTACCACCTTTGAAAAACTCTAACCTTGGCTATACCTTTTAAATGTTGATTTCTATGGCTTTCATATCTCACAGGTGTATTCGCTGTGACAAGGTCTTTCAATTGTGACCCTTTGACCTTGACCTTGGAGTTAAACTTCCATACTGGGTCCGATATATCCATGTGGAGATTCTGGGATTCATGGGAAACGAGACCGGGTCCACTCAGAAAATCTCAGTGGGGGACAAGGTTCACGTCAAACCTAATGTGGTCACGCCCACCTACAAATGGGGGGTCCGTGTCTCATAACTGCATTGGAACAGTTACAGATATTTTAATATTTTATTTTCTTGGATTTCAGCACTTTTATATGGACATGACATGCTCATTTAGCCTGTTGTAACATTATTTCAAGTATACTTTGTTCATATTTTTATGTCTTTATTTAATTAAAATTATAGTTAACAGAAACCTACATTATTCATATGTTGGAGTAAAAATTGATTTTAAAAATCACACCCATGCCCTCTTCCCCTTGAAATAAATTCCTTCTACTTGATAAACTATAAATTATTTATTTCAGCCATCAATGCCAATGGTAGAGATCTAACAGTAGACTTTCCCCAGCAATCTCACTGGACAGGGGTTATTGATGAAATGGAAATTGTGCCAAGTTCTCATCCTGGAGTGGGGTAAAATACATTTATCTTTAGTTAACTTTTCAAAATTTGATTTTATTTCAAAATTCTGTTTAAAAAAAGCAAAAACAAAATTTAAAATTAAACTCCAGAGTTATGTTCTGTGCCAAAGATCAATTTTTTCCACTGATTTTGAAATGCTGCATAATTTCATTGGAATTGTCCTACTTTTTAGGTGTGATGAATGTGAACTGTTCCCTATCGTGGGCTCAAGATACAAGTGTCAGAAATGTCCCAGTTATGACATGTGTGAAAACTGCTTCTGAATCAAGAAACACAAACACAGTCATGTCTTCGTTAAAATATCTGAACCAGGTAACAATCTTTGAAATGTATTTTGAGTCAAATTGAAATCAAATTTAATTTAGGGTTAACAACAAATAAAGGTAGCAGAGTTTGTCATGAGAGCTGGACAGGTATTATCAAAACTTGATATTAATTTTTTGAATTGTTTTCTTTGTAGATTGTGAGCCATCTTTTGCGGGGAAGGCTGGTAAACAGAGGAGGAAGTTTGGGGTCATGTCCTCCAGATCCACCATTGATGACTGGCACACCTGTGTCAAGGCCATCACGGTGTCATCTCGAGAAAACCAGGCTCACAGACTCATCAATGGAAACAATGGCTACTGGCAGAGTTCAGGGTCACAGGGCAAGGTGAGAGGTTAGGGGGTCATGTTCAGGTCAAATGGCAAGTTGAGAAGTAAAGGATTAGATTAGTCTCATTAGATTAGGGAAACAATGTCTATCTACAGAATTTGGGGAAGTTATAAAGTTAAGGGTGTGAGAAAAGTGAGCATTATGCTGAGGTTGTTACGCTGTTTTGTCAAAGACAGTGATTTCAACTGAAGAAAACCAGCAAAATTGAATGAATTTCACATTCATTTACCAAATAATTCTGAAACTGATTAGGAATTAAAATGAGATATGTGTACAGATAGTTGTATGTTTTATTTCTTATGTGTTATAGCACTGGATCCGACTAGAAATGCAGCCAGATATCCTTTTACATCGACTCTACATGAAAGTGGAGCCTTCTGACTCCAGCTACATGCCAAGTTTGGTGGTGATCAGTGCAGGAGATACGCTTAACTCCATGAGAGAAATCCGTGCAGTCAATATCACATCATCCGAGTCTATTGTTACACTTCTACAGGACCTTAATGACGTGAGTCTTGAGTTTCAATTTCTACAAAAAATAAATATGAAATAAAATTATCTTTTTAAGTGTTATTTAAGTAATCCTTGAAACTGTTTTCAGTGGACCTTTATAGATCAATGAGAGTACAAGAATGGATAAAAAAAAAACCATAATATTCTTGTGTAACTAAACCATTTTAATGTTCATGATTTTAATAAAATAATATTTCTTGTGTAATCTCTTTGATTTTAACAATATTCTACAGTACTTTTCACAATTTAATTATTGTTATACAAGAATGGATTAAAAAACCATAATATTCTTGTGTAACCAAACCACTTTAATTATTCTGTTCATGTTATGATATCTCTTTCCTTTGCAGTACTTTCGCTTCATTGAGATTGGCATCAAACAATGTCGCAGCAGTGGCATCGACTGTAAGGTTCACGGTCTGACGATTCTGGGGAGGTTACGGTCGGACGAGGATGATGCTGTCGCTAACTTTTCGTTCCTGGCCTCAGACAGAGAGGAGGAAGAAGAGGAAAAGGTCAATAGTTCATCTGTCAAAAAGAAGAAGAAATCCACAACCAAGGAAATTCAGACTAATGTATTCTGCTGGGGACTGAATGACAAGGATCAGCTGGGCGGGCCTAAAGGGTCAAAGGTCAGTAGAATAACAAATGAGAACAATTTACTGTATATAGGGAGAATTTTGCTCTTATTTATTTTAGCTCTTTTTGCCCATACCTCGGTTGAGCAAATTCAAAGAATGTGATTTTCTAAACAAAAATGTGAATGGGCAAATTTAAGATGGGAAAAAATTGTTTGCAATTATGAAATGGCAACAATAAAGCGGGGTGAAAATAACCCTGCATACAATATTCATAATTCTCTGTTCCAGTTTTCAGTAGAATATGGTTACAAGAGCTTTTCATACTACATGTACTGATAAATCAAAAACAAAGAAAAAAGACCTGCTATGTTAGAAGTCATGTGTACTTTCAGATTAAACTCCCAACTTTGAATGACAACCTGTCTGCTCTGAGATGTGTACAAATTGTGGGTGGATCCAAAAGTTTATTTTGTGGTAAGTTTCAAGTCACATAAGACAGATAAAAGGTTGCACCACAGTTTGTTACAGAATTATAATTAATTGTTACATGGCAAGTCAGAGGCATTTTTTGAAATTTTAAAGTTCTGTTACAGTTACAAAAGATTTTTTCTACCTTTATAGTGACCCAAGAAGGAATGGTCTATGCTTGTGGTGAGGCCACCAATGGGAGATTAGGTCTGGGGATCAGCACAGGGACTGTCTCTGTTCCGAGACAAATCACCTCACTGAGTCAATATGTGGTCAAAAAAGTGGCAGTCCATTCAGGTAACAACAAGAAAATGACATCATTTTAGTCAATCATTTGACAACAAATAATAAAAATATATAGTTCAATAGGTAACTTTAATATTAATGCTGATGAAAAGGATTTTAAAAAATGGTGATTATTGTTAAAAAATGTGGAATATTTTTTATGCTCACATTGTTCTTGTTTAATGGAAATAGGTGGACGACACTCACTTTTGAGAAAAGTCTTTTGGCCCCGCCTTTTCAATTCAGAGACTGGGAAAAGCTAACAATTTTTTTGTAATTTTCATGAAAAATACGAAGATTTGGGGAGAAGGGGATGATGGGAAACTGATTTATTACAAAGTTTTTTAACTCGATATTCATTAACATTTCATGGAGTTTTGTCAGTTATTTGCTGAAATTAAAACTTGAACTGTGATAAACCTTATTATTTACATGGCATTGATTGAGGCCCAGAGTTGATTGAAATCAAAGGTGTCAGAATTGCTTTTGCTGACAGTACAGTGCTGCTATACAGTCACGGGGGCTTCAATGAGTGCTGCCAAAAACCCTAAAATTTTTATCATTTTAAATCATATAAATGTGAGCATGCGGGAGATATCATGATGTTCACATTGTATTAAGTGTGTAAAATGCTTGGAAAAATGCATCAACAGATTTAAAAAATATGGCCTTTTAGAAAACACTTGGGAGTATTTATTGAGATTTAGACCAATAATACAACTCATTGAGCTGTACCAAAATTGGGAATCAAGTCATTTGACAAAGTGTTGGGGGCTCATTAACAATTCCTGAGCTGTAAAAATGACATCCAAACAGATAATAAAAATATATAGTTCAATAGCTTTAATAGGCTATATGAAATTGTCACATTATTGTTTAAAAAATATGGAATATTTTTTATGCTCACGTTGTTCTTGTTTAATGGAAATAGGTGGACGACACTCACTGGCCTTGACGACTGACGGAAAAGTCTTTTCCTGGGGAGAAGGGGATGATGGGAAACTGGGACATTTCAGTCGCTGGAACTGTGATAAACCTCGGCTGATTGAGGCCCTGAAATCAAAGCGTGTCAGAGACATTGCCTGTGGGAGTTCCCATAGTGCTGCTATTACGTCTAACGGGGACCTGTACACCTGGGGGTTAGGGGAAAAGGAAAGACTGGGTTTATTGGTGACAATACAACAAGCTGAAACCCAAACAAGGGACAACAAATTGATTGGATTTATTAAAGAATTTTTAAAAAAAGTTTTTATTAGCTCAACTGAGCTGAAAGCTTAAGTGAGCTTTTCTGATCACATTTTGTCCGTCGTCCATCTGTCTGTCTAGCTGTCTGTCCGTCTGTAAACTTTTCACATTTTCGACTTCTTCTCAAGAACAGCTGGGCCAATTTCAACCAAACTTGTTACAAAGTATCCTTGGGTGAAGGGGATTCAATTTTGTTCAAATGAAGGGCCACGCCCTCATTCAAGGGGAGATAATTGGGAATTAATGAAAATTTGGTGGTATGTTTTAAAAATCTTCTACTCAAGAACCACAGTGCCAGAAAAGATGAAACTAATGGGGAAACATCCTCAGGTAGTGTAAATTCAAGTTTGTTCAAATCATGACCCCCGGGGGTAGGGTGGGGCCAAAATGGCCGACCAAATTTTTACATAGAAATATATAGGAAAATTCTTTAAAAATCTTCTTCTCAAGAATAGCAAAGCCATGATTGATCATATTTATATGGAAGCATGCTCAGGTAGTGTAGATTCAAGTGTGCTCAAATCATTACACCCGGGGGTAGGGAAGGGCCACAATGGCCGACCAAAGTTTTACAGAGAAATATATAGGAAAATTCTTTGAAAATCATCTTCTCAAGAATAACAAAACCATAATTGATCATATTGATATGGAAGCATCCTCAGGTAGTGTTGATTCAAATTTGTTCAAATCATGACCCCCAGGGGTAGGGCGGGGCCACAATGGCCCACCACAGTTTTACATAGAAATATATAGGAAAATTCTTTTAAAATCTTCTTCTCAAGAATAACAAAGCCATGATTGATTATATTTATATGGAAGCATCCTCAGGTAGTGTAGATTCAAGTTTGTTCAAATCATGACCCCCGGGGGTAGGGCGGGGTCACAATGGCCGACCAAATATAGATAGAGATATATTAGGAAATTCTTTGAAAATCATCTTCTCAAGAATAGCAAAACCATAACTGGTCAATAAGGTTTACTTTTGGATTTAAACTTTTCAATAATCAAACCAATTTCTACTTTTTCCTAGCCACAGTGCACAGGTGAGCGATGTGGCCCATGGGCCTCTTGTTTAAGATAATATATTTTAAAAGCATCAGTATTAAAATTAAATCACTTCACTGTAAGCATGAATTAATTACTGAGTATACGCATTTCACTGTAACTGTTTATATTTACTGAAAATTTAGTCATATCATTTAAACAAAGAAGAATAGACAAGATATCTTTTAATTCCAAATCCAAAGAAGTGTTTATGCAATGTTTTCCATTGAAATTAATTTACAGTATGTACAATTTGTTCAGTATAATAATGTTCAATAGACGGAACACTATTCAGAATATACATTTCTGTGCTGGAAATCACAAATTTAAGTTTTAGAATTATGTACAACTGATGGAATTATAATCACTTTATATACTTGTACACTGTCAGTGTATTGGTGTCTCGTTGTCCCACATAGAGATTGTTCTCATCATCCACACACACACTACGGGGATACTCTACCCCTTGTTGTTGTGTGAGTAATAGAGACAAGAACTGACCGTCCTGATCAAGGAGGTGAACAGTGTCACTGACACCATCACACACCAGGATGTGACCGAGGACATCAGTACAGATTCCATAGGGATTGAACTCTGACTCCTGACCTTTGTAGGAGAACCTGTGTTGTCCTGATTTATTCACCACCACTACTGCCTTTTTACTCCAGTCTGATGTACAGATATCTCCATTGATGTTTTCTGTTATGTAGTGTGGTTCACTATACAGTTTCTGTCCTTTGTTATCCCTCTGTATGTTCTGTAGTTCTTTTCCTGTCTTGTTGTACCTGGTGACTTTACCCACTTCTCCAATCTTCCACATCCCCACCAGTAAGTCCCCGTTGATGTGGGAGGAGTGTATGCTGAGTGGTGTCCAGTCTCCAGTTTTAATGAATTCAGTGATATTATTATCCTGTGTTATCCTATTGATGACTTTCTTGTATTGGTCTGTAAAGATCAGATCCCCGTCCTGTGTGACTGTGTGGTAACCAGATCCACCACTGGTTTTTATCTTCTGTATCACATTCCCCTGTAGATCTATTTGGACAAGATTACCATCATTGTCACTGATCCAGAGTCTGTCTGATTGATCTAGTGATACATGGTATACATTATCAACACCTGGTACATTGAACTCCCTGACCTTGGTGACAGAGGCAGATAGAGACAATGTTTGTTTCTTGTCAGATTTCACATGTTTATCTTGTTTTGTCTGTTGACTTGTAGATTTCATTGATGTAGAGAAAGAAGCAATTTCCATGGGCTCTACTCTTCTTAGTTTTTCTTTTTTATTTGTTACAGTTATCTTCCCCAGTAATTTATCAACATCATTTTTGCTGTATTGAGCAGGAGAAAATTCTGGTGTGACAGGTTTTGTGGTTTCTGGTATGGATTTTATTTTCAAGTTCTCAGGAAGTTTAGTTGTGAAGTTGGAGAGCTCAGTAGAGGACAGGTAACTCTGGAACTCTTTAACAAGGTCACTGAGATAGGCAATATAATCATCAAATGTCTTCTCTTGGCTCTGTAATTTCTCCAGTAATGACTTCTCTATTTGGTTTAATTCTTCCATATTTTCTGAGAGCACTGTGTCCACCATGTTTTTGAGAGACTCGGCTTCAGCCTTCATGGATGTCCGTATGCTGTCCATGATCTGTTTAACTTCTGTGGCATCTTCCCGAACTTCTCTCTGTAAATCCTGTGATGTAGGAACAAAGTAATTATGGATTTTAGAGAGTTCCGTATGGCAAATTTCAAATTTCTCTGTGTATATAACTTCTAAATCAATAAATTGATGCCCCCGATGATCTTGCATTGTTGAACACTTTGAACATAAAGGAACATTGCATTCTTCACAGAAAATATCTATATCTTTAGTGGGGTGGATCTTGCATTTCTCCACAGGAAGTTGCCTTTTGCGTTGCTGATAAAGGACCACTTCATGGTTTTTGTTTTCTGGAATCTTTAGATGTTGGTCTCTGCATGATTTACACATCTGTTGATGGCAGGAATTGCAGTAGAATTCACAATTTCTCTCACAATCTTCAAAACCACACTCCAGAAAGTGTTGGGCCGTGCCTGGAATTTTTGGTTTGGAAAGAGCCATCTGAAATTAACATTGAAAAGTTTGTTACATGCATATGGATTTTAAAATTGTAACAGTTTTACATATTGTATTTAATTGTTAAGTTAAACTAAAATCAACTTCAGAAAACAAATGCGCGCGACAAATTTCATCGAGTTCGGAAAACAGCAGAGAGGAAATTCGGAATGTATAACGAAATCTAGTAGTGCTATTCTCAGATGCAGAAATTTATGCATAATTCAATAAATTTTATTCAAAAAGCCGAAGAATTAATAAGTTGACAGTGCAATTAGTTTTTATTTGTTTATTTAATCTTTTATTCATTTATTTATTTAATATTTATTTATTTATTTATTTATTTATTTATTTATTTATTTATTTTAATTGTAATAATTATTAATATACTAAGTAACTTATTTATTCATTAGGAAATTTATTTGTCTGTTTATTTATAAATACATTCTTTTCTTCATTAATTAATAATTCTAATGAATAATTAATTGTTCTATATATTTATTAATCATTTATTCTTTTATTTAATTAATAAATTTATAGATTAATTCATTATTTATGTTTTAATTCATTTATATTTAAATTTGTTTGTTTATTTGTTTACTTACTTTATATTTTTCTTCATTGTTTATTTATTTATTGGTGTTTTTCTTTATCTACTGGTTTATTTATTATTTCTGATAATTAAGTAAATGTTTGATTTACTAATAAATAATTTATTTTATTAATTTATCATATTTATTCCTTTTTATTATTATCTTTTAGAATTAATCAATTAATGAATTAATTAATTTTTATCTATTTTCTTAATTATCTTTTTATTTATCTCTCTCTCTCTCTCTCTTTGATATAGACAGGTTCTGTTTATGTATTGCTAGGGTTTATGTTCCCATCACCAGGGTTTGTATACCCATCACCAGGGTCTATATACACATCACCAGGGTCTGTATTTTCTATCACCAGGGTCTATATTATCTATCACCAGGGTCTGTATACCCATCACCAGGGTCTGTATACCCATCACCAGGGTCTATATACCCATCACCAGGGTCTATATACCCATCACCAGGGTTTGTATACCCATCACCAGGGTCTATATACCCATCACCAGGGTCTATATTCACATCACCAGGGTCCATATTATTTATCACCAGGGTTTATATACCCATCACAAGGGTCTGTATACCCATCACCAGGGTCTGTATACCCATCACCAGGGTCTATATACCCATCGCCAGGGTCTGTATACCCATCACCAGGGTCTATATTATCTATCACCAGGGTCTATATACCCATCACCAGGGTCTATATACCCATCACCAGGGTCTATATTATCTATCACCAGGGTCTGTATACCCATCACCAGGGTCTATATACCCATCACCAGGGTCTGTATACCCATCACCAGGGTCTATATACCCATCACCAGGGTTTATATACCCATCACCAGGGTCTATATTATCTATCACCAGGGTTTATATACCCATCACCAGGGTCTGTATACCCCTCACCAGGGTCTGTATACCCCTCACCAGGGTCTATATACCCATCACCAGGGTCCATATTATTTATCACCAGGGTTTATATACCCATCACGAGGGTCTGTATACCCATCACCAGGGTCTGTATACCCATCACCAGGGTCTGTATACCCATCACCAGGGTCTATATACCCATCACCAGGGTCTGTATACCCATCACCAGGGTCTGTATACCCATCACCAGGGTCTATATTATCTATCACCAGGGTCTGTATACCCATCACCAGGGTCTATATATCCATCACCAGGGTCTGTATTATCTATCACCAGGGTCTGTATACCCATCACCAGGGTCTATATACCCATCACCAGGGTTTGTATACACATCACCAGGGTCTGTATACCCATCACCAGGGTTTATATACCCATCACCAGGGTCTATATACTCATCACGATTATCTATCACCAGAGTCTGTATACCCATCACCAGGGTCTATATACCCATCACCAGGGTTTATATACCCATCACCAGGGTCTATGCACCCATCACCAGGGTCTGTATTATCTATCACCAGGGTCTGTATACCCATCACCAGGGACTATATACCAATCACCAGGGTTTATATACCCACCACCAGGGTCTAAATACCCATCACCAGGGTTTGTATACTCATCACCAGGGTCTGTATACCCATCACCAGGGTCTATATACCCATCACCAGTGTCCATATTATCTATCACCAGGGTTTGTATACCCATCACCAGGGTCTGTATACCCACGACCAGGGTCTGTATACCCATCACTAGGGTCTGTATTATCTATCACCAGGGTCTGTATACCCATCACCAGGGTCTGTATTATCTATCACCAGGGTCTGTATACCCATCACCAGGGTCTATATACCCATCACCAGGGTTTGTATACACATCACCAGGGTCTGTATACCCATCACCAGGGTTTATATACCCCTCACCAGGGTCTGTATACCCCTCACCAGGGTCTGTATACCCCTAACTAGGGTCTATATACCCATCACTAGGGTCTGTATTGTCTATCACCAGGGTCTGTATACCCATCACCAGGGTCTGTATTATCTATCACCAGGGTCTGTATACTCATCCCCAGGGTCTTTATACCCATCACCAGGGCTTGTATACCCATCACCAGGGTCTATATACCCATCACCAGGGTCTGTATACCCATGTTTCACTATGTATCACTCAGGGTCTTTATCACAAGGTCTTGTGTGTAACTAATATTACGGTAGCACCAAGGGTATGTGTATCATTAAAGGTCTGTGTACTACCACCAAAGGTGTCTATCACCAACAGTCTATGTATCAATAAGGGTCTATGTATCACCAAGGGTATATTTATTACCAAGGGTATGTGCATCATAAAGTGTCTGTCAATAACCAGGGGTCTGTGTTTCAACAAGGGTTTCTATCATCAGGGGTACTGTATATGTATCACAAAGGGCCTATTTATCACCTAGGGTCTGTATCAACAAGGGTAAATGTATCTCCAAGGGTCTATGTATCACCATGATTATGTGTATCACCAAGATTATGTGTATCACCAAGGGTAAATGTATCTCCAAGGGTCTATGTATCACCAAGATTATGTGTATCACCAAGGGTAAATGTATCTCCAAGGGTCTATGTATCACCAAGATTATGTGTATCACCGAGATTATGTGTATCACCAAGGGTATGCGTATCATAAAGGGTTTGTGTTCTACCAGGGGTCTATGTATCACCAAGTGTCTATGTATCACCAGTGGTCTATGTGTCGTCAAGGGTCTTTTTATCACCAAGGGTATGTGTATTACCTAGGGTGTGTGTATCACGAAGTGTCGGTGTATCAACTAGGTTCTATGTATCACCAAGGGTATGTGTATCACCTAGGATCTGTCTATCACCAGTGGTCTTTGTATCACCAAAGGTCTGTGTATCACCTAGGGCTTGTGTATCACCAGTGGTCTATGTATCACCAAGGGTTTATATATCACCTGGAGTCTGTATCAACAAGGATAAGTTTACTTAGGGTATGTATGTCACTAAGGGTCTATATTACCAATGATATGTATATCACCAAGGGTTTGTGTATTATTGAGGGTCTGTGTATCACCAAGGGTATATATTGTATCACCTAGGGTCTGTGTATCAACTAGGGTCTGTGTATCACCAAAGGTCTATGTATCACCTTTGTCCATCAGCAGGGTTTGAATACCTTTCATAAGAGTGTGCATGTTTATTACATATGTCTGAATACCCATATCAAGGAAATTTTTATTTTTGCAGGGTTTTATTGCATTATTTATTAGGCCTATATGGGGTCTAACATAATCTGCATTATTAAAATGAAATCCAATATTAAGAAGGTCTCTGGATGTGTTTAGTAAAGTTCACCTCTTGTAGAGAAGGCATGATCGAATTGTATAAAGAAATACATGTATATTGATTTTCTCATGATTAAAATTTCTTGATTCTAATATTGATTTATTTACTTTTTATTGTGTAGTGTAAGCCTGTTAAAGAGGATGCAAAGGACATTCAAATTAACTTAAAACGTTGGGCAAAGAGTTTATTTATGTGGATTGTGAAGAATCATGATGTATTTTGATTCCTCATGATGTATTTTGATTCCTCTTTTGGATATTCCCGTGGGGATCCAGGTTAGAATAGGTCCTCAGTACCCCCTTGTTTGTCATAAAAGGCGACTAAATGGGGCGGTCCTTCGGATGAGACCGTATAAACCGAGGCCCCGTGTCACAGCAGGTGTGGCATGATAAAGATCACTCCCTGCTCAAAGGCCGTAAGTGCCGAGCATAGGCCTAAATTTGCAGCCCTTCATCGGCAATGGTGACGTCCTCATATCAGTGAAATATTCTGGAGAGGGACGTTAAACAGTATACAATCAATCAATCTATCAATCTTTTGGATAAATTGAGATAATTTTTATTAACAAAATATTTATTTATACCTTAGTCGACTATTCATTTACTTTATTCGAATAATAGTTGAATATTCGGGACATTTGATGGAAATAAAATTTTAATAATTCAGATTTCACTTGTACATAAATGAGTTATATTTATAACAAAAACCTCCTTACCTGCATTTATAAAAAGTAACATGAAATATTTATGTGTATGTTTCACATAGATGTTAAGAGGCACCTAACGTATTGACAAGGCACGTAACAAGGGGGGGGGGTGTTGCCCCCTTCCCCCTGTTTTCTAAACGCATCATTTAACTTTTGAACATATTCATTGAAAGGTCGACCCCCTATACTTTTCAGAAGATCGGACTCTCATATTCAACATATGAATTATCTATTACAAACCGTTTATGAATACTTAATTTTTTTTTATCTTATGATAATGTTTAATTTTCAAACACTTATTGTAAATCAAAAGCGGCTAAGGGAAAGGATAACAATTTTATACGTAATTTTAATTAGGCGATTGTGGCCGGTGTCAACCCTTTCCTGTCTCAAAAGAACCTGACAATAGCCAGCAATTGTTCTTTCAGCAACAAGGCCGGCTAAGAATTACTAGTACCCTGATCAAAGCATAATTCACCTGTATAATGCCCCTGACAAAACTATTAGGAGTCCAATTTATTTTGCATATGATCTTTGACCTTGACATTTGACCTTAACAAAACTTTGATCTTGGCCAAAGCTTTGCACTTGATGCGACAGGTCTTTTACATCTTCATGTGAAAAGATTTGACAAATGAACTTTGCCATAGACGACTGCATCCCATTCAAAAATTACAGACACTGCATATCATTTCCCTGAAGCAAAACTACACTTTGGTTTTCTGCTTGACAAAATGTCATTCTTCAGAATTTGTAGAATGCATCTATTTTGGCACTTTTGTTCTACTGTCATAAACCTCTACATCGAACATAAATGAAATTTGAACTTTGTGTTGGTCGATCTACTTTCATGAGGATTTATACCATTGCACACTTTATTCATTAATTATGAAGAGATGTATATGTTCAGATTTTCTGTGGAACAAATGAACAACATGATGGAATTTTATGATTTCTTTCCATTTATGAAATAGATGAATCAAGATACATAATGACCGAAATTTTCAATGTCAAAATATTTCCACATAAATAAAAAATCTTTGTCTATCTATATAGTTCAATGTCCTTTGCTTCCTCCTTAACAGGATTCAACTACAAAATAAAAAAAGGTATGCTATAATGACAACATAAAATAATAACTTTAGATCAAGAAATTTTAATCTCAAGACAATCATTATAGTTCATTATACAATTCGATCAGGCCTTCTCTACAAGATGTTAACCTTGTAAGTGAACACACCCAAAGACATCCTTAAAAGTAATTAGATTTCATTTTGATAATGCAAAAAATGTTGGACATCCTACAGAAAATAAGGTACTTCGACCCCGCAAGAGGGAAAATCCTTAATATGACTTTTCAGACTTATGTAATAAGTATACACACTCTTTTGATAGGTTAATGATCATTGCTGATGGACAAAAAGGACACAAACCCTTGGTGATACACAGACCCTTGGTGATACATAGACCCTTGGTGATATATAGACCCAAGGTGATACATAGACCCTAGGTGAAAACCCTTGGTGATACACAGATCCTTGGTGATACAAAGACGTTAGGTGATACACAAACCCTTTGTGATACACAGACCCTAGGTGATACACAGACCCTATGTGATACAAAGACCCTTGGTGATACATAGACCCTTGGTGATACATAGACCCTTGGTGATACATAGACCCTTGGTGATACATAGACCCTTGGTGATACATAGACCCTAGGTGAAAACCCTTGGTGATACACAGATCCTTGGTGATACACAGACCCAAGGTGATACATAGACCCTTGGTAATACACAGACCCTTGGTTATACATAGACCCCTGGTAATACACAGACCCTTGGTGATACATTGACCCTTGGTGACACACGGACCCTTGGTAATACATTGACCCTTGGTGACAAATAGACCCTAGGTGATACAAACAAGCACTTGGTGATAAACATAACCTTTGTGATACAGTCCCTTGGTGATACACATACCGTTGGTGAAGCACAGGACATTGGTAATATACATACTTTTTATGATACATAGACCCTTGGTGACAAAGACCCTGCGTGATACATAGAGTCATAGACCCTTGTTGATACTAAGACCCTTGACAAACCCTCTGCGATGCACATACTCTTGGTTATATTAAAAACCAAACCCATGCAAATACAGACTCTTTATGATACACCATTGTTAATATAGAGAAAAGTGATCAATATACAGAGACTGGTAATAAGTTTGTAGACCCTGGTACGTGACAGGTAATACCTATCCTAGATATAGATATACAGACCTTGATGATTGGTAATAGCGGTAATGACTCTGGTGATGGGCATATAGAACCTGTAGAGTGGGTATAAAGACCCTGGTGATGAGTATTACAGACCCTGGTGATGGGTATACAAACCCTGGTGATGGGTATACAGACCCTGGTGATGGGTATACAGACCCTGGTGATGGGTATACAGACCCTGGTGATGGGTGTATAGACCCTGGTGATGGGTATATAAACCTTGGGGATAGATAATATGGACCCTGGTGATGTGAATATAGATCCTGGTGATGGGTATACAGACCCTGGTAATAGATAATACAGACCCTGGTGATGGGTATACAAACCCTGGTGATGGGTAAATAGACCGTGGTGATGTGTATACAGACCCTGGTGATGGGTATATAGACCCTGGTGATGGGTATATAGACCCTGGTCATGGGTACACAGACCCTGGTGATGGGTTTATAAATCCTGGTGATGGGGATACAGACCCTGGTGATGGGTATATAGACCCTGAAGATGGGTATAAAGACCCTAGTGATGGGTATATAGACCCTGGTGATGGGTATACAGACCCTGGTAATAGATAATACAGACCCTGGTGATGGGTATATAGACCCTGGTGATGGGTATACAGACCCTGGTGATGGGTATACAGACCCTGGTGATGGGTATACAAACCCTGTTGATGGGTAAATAGACCGTGGTGATGTGTATACAGACCCTGGTGATGGGTATACAGACCCTGGTGATGGGTGTATAGACCCTGGTGATGGGTATATAAACCCTGGTGATAGATAATATGGACCCTGGTGATGGGTATACAGATCCTGGTGATGGGTATACAGACCCTTGTGATGGGTGTATAGACCCTGGTGATGGGTATATAGACCCTGGTGATAAATAATATGAACCCTGGTGATGTGAATATAGACCCTGGTGATGGGTATATAGACCCTGGTGATGGGTATATAAACCCTGGTGATAGATAATATGGACCCTGGTGATGTGAATATAGACCCTGGTGATGTGAATATAGACCTTGATGATGGGTATATAGACCCTGGTGATAGATAATATAGACCCTGGTGATGGGTATACAGACCCTGGTGATGGGTATACAGACCCTGGTGATGGGTATACAAACCCTGGTGATGGGTATACAGACCCTGGTGATGGGTATACAGAACCTGGTGATGAGTATACAAACCCTGGTGATGGGTATTTAGACTCTGGTGGTGGGTATACAGACCCTGGTGATGTGTATATAGACCCTGGTGATGGGTATACAGACCCTGGTGATAGGTATATAGACCCTGGTGATGGGTATACAGACCCTGGTGATGGGTATACAAACCCTGGTGATGGGTATATAGACCCTGGTGATGGGTATACAGACCCTGGTGATGGGTATATAGACCCTGGTGATGGGTATATAAACCCTGGTGATAGATAATACAGACCCTGGTGATGTGAATATAGACCCTGGTGATGGATATATAGACCCTGGTGATGGGTATATAGACCCTGGTGATGGGTATATAGACCCTGGTGAGGGGTATACAGACCCTGGTGATGGGTATATAGACCCTGGTGATGGGTATATAGACCCTGGTGATGGGTATATAAACCCTGGTGATGGGTATATAGACCCTGGTGATGGGTATACAGACCCTGGTGATAGATAATATAGACCCTGGTGATGGGTATATAAACCCTGGTGATGGGTATACAGACCCTGGTGATGGGTATACAAACCCTGGTGATGGGTATATAGACCCTGGTCATGGGTATACAGACCCTGGTGATGGGCATATAGACCTGGTGATGGGTATATAGACCCTGGTGATGGGTATACAGACCCTGGTGATGGGTATATGGACCCTGGTGAGGGGTATACAGACCCTGGTGATGGGTATATAAACCCTGGTGATAGATAATATGGACCCTGGTGATGGGTATACAGACCCTGGTGATGGGTATAAAGACCCTGGTGATATAAACCCTGGTGATAGATAAAATGGACCCTGGTGATGGGTATATAGAGCCTGGTGATGGGTATATAGACCCTGGTGATGGGTATACAGAGAGAGAGAGAGAGAGAGAGAGAGAGAGAGAGAGAGAGAGAGAGAGACCCTGGTGAGAAAATACAGAGTGATGTGTATATAGACCCTGGTGATGGGAAGACAAACCCTGGTGATGGGAAATAACCCCTAGCAATACATAAACAAAATATATTAAAGAGAGAGAGAGAGAGAGAGAAATAATAAATAAAAAGATAATGAAAAAAAATTAATTAATTCATTAATAATAATAAAAAGGAATAAATATGATAAATTAATAAAATAAATTATTTATTAGTAAATCAAACATTTACTTAATTATCAGAAATAATAAATAAACCAGTAGATAAAGAAAAACACCAATAAATAAATAAACAATGAAGAAAAATATAAAGTAAGTAAACAAATAAACAAACAAATTAAAATATAAATGAATTAAATCATAAATAATAAATTAATCTATAAATTTATTAATTAAATAAAAGAATAAATGATTAATAAATATATAGAACAATTGATTACTCATTAGAATTATTAATTAATGAAGAAAAAAATGTATTCATAAATAAACAGACAAATAAATTTCCTAATGAATAAATACGTTACTTAGTTTATTAATAATTATTACAATTAAAAAATTAAAAAATAAATGAATAAAAAAAAATAATAAATAAATATTATATAAATAAATAAAATATAAATAAATAAATAAATAAATAAATAAATGAATATAAATAAACAAATAAAAACTAATTGCACTGTCAACTTATTAATTCTTCGGCTTTTTAAATAAAATTTTATTGAATTATGCATAAATTTCTGCATCTGAGAATAGCACTACTAGTTTTCGTAATACATTCCGAATTTCCTCTCTGCTGTTTTCCGAACTCGATGTAAATTTGTCGCGCGCATGCGCTCTGCCTGGTTATAGAGGCTGGTTACGAGATATAAAAATGTATTCATATTATACCTCCTTAAATGGAACGCTGCCATAAAGGTGTAAAGTTTGTAATCTATTCTGTTGTATCAAATCTGAGATTATCTTAGACAAATAGGACTTGAGTAAGCAAAATGCCCTAGCATATCTGCTAGCTAACATGCCAGATACTTACTTTTGACACAATGGGCCTCTAAATGTATATTTCTGTTCAGCAAACTTTGGAATGTACAATGAAGGAGGGAGATTTTAGTCGAGACTTAGACGAGATCTGTAATTTACTTCCTGGGTGGAGATAAATATAGATTTAAATCTCCTAAGTACATCTGTACTTTAGTACCAAATGAATAATAGTGTTAAATATAGTATGTTTTTACAGGGGGGAAAATGTTATGAAGTAAACATTTTTATTTTACAAAATTATATCCAAATTTTTTTATAAAAGATATATAATTACCGGGGTATGTGTATTTGTTAGCTTTATGAGCCAAAAAAGTAGTGGTAAGGTTGAAAAGTGTTTTATTACCTAACCACTTTATAATTAATTAAATTGGAATAAAAACACACAATCAATAAAAAGTTTTCACAACTGTTTATTCACATACTTGTCTATTATTTAGCTGAACACAAAATATAAAGATTAAATCAATATTTTTAATTTAAAGTAATACTTAATAAATTGACTGTTTGTGTGTTTTATCTAAATTTGATTAATTATAGAGCAGGTAAATAGTGATGTCGTGATCATCAAAACGTTTGAATATCATGATGACGCTTTAAACAGGCAACAGTTCATTCTGTGGACCGGTCAACACTTCACTGTTTCATGATCGCAAAAACATAAAGTAAATCGTGAAACAGTTCAAAATGCCTTATTATAATTTATATAGTAGGTTAGGTAATAAAGGCGCTAGCAAATTTCCAAAAGTTAGGCTCAATGGCCTTATGTGCAGAGTATAGGACAAAACTTGAGATCTCCATCGACAAGTGGTAGCATCTCCATATGAATGAAAAATTCTTGAGAGGGATAATGAAAAATTCTTGAGAGGGATGTTTAAAACAGCATACAATCAATCATCTCAAAAACCAATGGACCAGAAAATCTGAAACTTACAAGTATGTGGAAGCATCCTTGGGTAGTGTAGATTCTAAATTTGTTCAAATCATGGCCCCAGGGGGTACATGTAGGGTGGGGCCACAATAGCTATTGCAAGGTGAAAACTGTGGCCCATGGGCCTCTTGTTGCGTTTTGTAGCCCACCTTCATTGAAAAAATCAATCTTTTTTTTTAAAAAAAGTTACTTTATTCTCGATGCATTAAATATTTTAATTTAGGTCAAACACTTGGCCCATCAGCGAGTGGTACAGGTGGCCTGTGGCAGTCACAACGTACCCTGGCCCTCACAGACGAGGGCTACGTCTACTCCTGGGGGGACGGGGACTTTGGAAAACTGGGTCGAGGGGGGAGTGAGGGATGTAATGTCCCTCATGAAGTGGAGAGACTGAGGGATCAGAAGGTGTGTCAGATTGAGTGTGGTGCCCAGTTCTCATTGGCTCTGACCAAGTCTGGACAAGTGTGGACATGGTGAGCATTTATTCCATAATGAATATATACATGTACTAGATATGGCTTACCTTTGAATTGCATGTGTCTGTGCTTGATAAAGAATGAAATGATTCCATTGCCTTTTACCAATCAGTTTGTCAGAGAAATAGTACCTACTGGTAAATTAATTTTGCAGCAGCTTAAGATTTATCAGGTCACAGAAATCGAAGAGGAATTATAAAATAATAAATTGATGCGCTTCAATTCATGTTTTTAGGGGCAAAGGTGACTATTTTCGATTGGGTCATGGAACAGATGCTCATGTAAGAAAGCCTCAGATTGTAGAGGGACTGAAGGGGAAGAAGATCGTCCATGTAGCCGTGGGGGCCCTCCACTGTCTGGCCGTCACTGACACAGGGCAGGTGAGTCAAATGTACTCAGGTTTTACAGACCTATGGGAGATATTTTTACACCCCCCGCAAACGAAAATATATAGGAATCACCTTGTTGCATTTTGTAGTCCACCTTCATTGAAAAAATCAATCTTTCTTACAGAGGGACATTAGAATCTACTACTCCACACTAAGATTGCTCATAAAAAGTGTGCATGACCTTGACTCAAAGGTCATTTTGGGGAAGTTCAAGGTCACTGGAAGAAAACCATAATTTGTCCGGTCCATATCAGCTTAGTGGATAAACAGGTAGGTTCCATTTCACACAAAGATTGCCCATGACCCAAGGGTGTGTCATGACCTCACAAGGTCAGGGGAAGTTCAGGTCACTGGGAGAAAAATTTCAAAATTCATGTTTGACACATATCTTTTATGGATAAACTTGGTAGGTTCTCATTTCATACAAAGATTGCTCATGACCCAAGGGTGTGTCATGACCTTGACCCAAGGTCATTTGGGGAAGTTCAAGGTCACTGGTAGAAAAAATTCATAAGGTGTGTCCATATTAAGGATAAAGTGGTAGGTTCTCATTTCATACAAAGATTGCCCATGACCCAAGGGTGTGTCATGACCTTGACCCAAGGTCATTTGGGGAAGTTCAAGGTGAGACTGGAAGAAAAATTTCATAATTCGTGTCCGGTCTGAATATGGATTCATTTCACATAAAGATATGCCCATGACCAAGGGTGTGTCATGACCTTGACCCATGTGTCTGTGCACTGGTAAAAATGAAATAATTCCATGTCCCTTTTACCTTAAGGATAAACTTGGTAGGTTTTCATTTCACACAAAGATTGCCTATGACCTATGGGTGTGTCATGACCTTGATTTATCAGGTCAAGGAAGTTCAAGGACTGATAAAATAAAATTTTATAAGTCGTGTTTGATACATATCTTTATTATGCAAAAACTTACTTCTGAAAAACCCAGCGGTGGGTATTTTGTCCCAATTGGACAGTTCTAGTTAAAATGTATACTGTGGTTTCATCAATATTTGTTGAGCACCAATTTTCGTGGATTTCGTTGTTGAGTAGCTCCACGAATTCAAATGTTCATTGAATTACGAAATATGACATTCATTTGTATGGGCAATGCTTTTGTCCACGGCCGTCACTGACACGGGGCAGGAAAATGTCTGTTTTACAAGGAAAATACAGACCCAACGAAAATTGATTTTAAAATATAGTAATGTAAACTTAGTTGAATTTTACATTGAAGATAAGTAAACATACATGTACATCCACAGCTTGTTAATCACTATTCAGTCATTTTGTATCAAGAAGCAGGATTAGATGGATGGAAGTTTACTGCCCTAATAGTTTTGATATTTTGAAATACAATAATTGAAGGAGTTGAAATTTTTTAACATTCTCACTATGAATTTTTTTGTCTAGGTGTATGCTTGGGGAGATAATGACCATGGACAGCAAGGAAATGGAACCACCACGGTCAACAGAAAGCCTGCCCTGGTGGTGCTGGAGGGGTACAAGATCAGTAAGGTAGCATGTGGTTCCTCTCACAGCATTGCCTGGGCCACCACCGACATGTCTGTCCCCACCACCCATGAACCAGTGCTGTTCTCCACCTCCAGGGATCCCCTGGGGGCAACACTTCTGGGTAAGGATTAGGACTACAATTCATTCCTATTGTATGAAGACTTGACTGATATGGGGGGCATATCAGAAAATGAGGGGCATTCTAGATGGAATTTGTTGATTTTTTTGTATATTTCTTTTTAACATTAAGCTGTAATATTATTTTTTTTTTGTTGATTTAAAAAAGGTGTGAATGAGAGCAATGCTGAGGAGAACTCAGTATCTACCACTGCCTCCCAAAACTCAACATCCAAAACTGTACGTCCATCTCTGGCCAAAATCATTCTATCCCAGGACACAGACACCAGTAAACAACAGGCCCTGGGTTACATACTGACCGCTCTACAGATTCTCTACTCCAGGTAAAGGCTTTGGTCTGGTCTGTCTGAATTTATCTTTTACGTAGCCTTATTTCATAAAAAAGAGGAGTGCAATAAAATTAGTTAAAAAAATATATATTGTGAACTTAATTGATATCATGAAATACAATAAACCAATTCTTTGAGCCCTTGCACTTCATTATAAGTGTGTTTTACTGCAAATAGTGAAAGGGGGTGAGGAAGGGCCCAGGAGGGGGTTTGACTCCAAGATGTAAAATGTAATTCACTGAGGTAAAATAAGATACATGTATTATTTCTGTTAATAATGGTATTTATCCTCAAATGATTTTTCATGTTAAACAGAGATGCCATAGTAAAGTCCCTGGAGACAGATGGTCAGCCTGTGCCAGTTTCTCAGGAAATGAAGCCCCTGGGTATGACGGGGTCCCTGGCGGCCAGCACTGATGAGCTCCCTATGGACAGAGAAGAGGGACTACACCGGGAGGGGACAGAGGAGGTGCTGGACCACGCCGACATACAGCTGACAGTGGGGGAGACTGTCACAGAGGCTGTCAGTGGGGTAGGTTTTATATAGAATAAAGAAATACCATTTACTCACTGGTTTTACAATTCACATATAGAAGGAAAAAAATATCATTTAGACATAAACTGGTTCTAACATGCATGTTTGATATATGGATTCTTGTTTATCAGGGTCCTAACCTGAAACTCACTACAAGCAAGTAAAAACATGAACTATAAATTTGCTTGCGACTGAAATATTTCCGAAAAGATGTTGTGTTGGAAAGTTGTGAAACATTTATAAAAGTGGTAATAATTTTGTTTCATATTATTTTAGGTGCATTCAGAAATCTCATCATACACAAGCATGCAAAGTCTGGCAGCTTTAGTTCCCATGGAAACAAGTATCATAGCAGAGACCTTGACCTCTGCAGATGAGGTCATGAGTACCATGGAAGCCGGCCCAACAAACTTTCCATCAGGTCTGGACGACTTCACTGCCAGAATGTCTGTTAACGATGCCCGTAATTTGGTAGAACTTCTGAAGCTTGCTGTGGCGTCCAGAATGGGAGAAATGGCTAAAGAGGGTCTGTCAGACATCCTTACTCGACTGGCCAAGGCATATCCTCAGGTACATCTCCCATTCTGTTTAACTGAATAAGTTAATTATGTGATTTTATGTTACATTGGACAGGGTCATCAGCTGAGGATTGAATTAATTTCTTACAATTTTATTTCATTTAAAATCAAGCTTAAATTTTTTTTAAGTTTTGTGATGTTTGAAAAAAAAATTTTTTATGGCTTTGAGCTGTTTCATGCATATTAGATATCTTTGAGCACTTGAATACTGCAGACAAATGTTAAATAGTTGAGGCTTCATGCTTTTACAATCACTACCGCAGTTAAAACCTCTTTCCATTCTTTTGTAACGTGTAATCATATTAATTAAATTCATTGTTTTCATTTTAAGGTGGCTGAGATGTTGTTGGAGCTGTGTGTCACAGAGTTGGAGGATGTGGCGTCAGATCGGGTTTGTGGGAGGCTACCACAGCCGGTGGTACAGGAGTGTCCCCACCCCTACAGTGATGATACCTCCCTGAGTGGGACAGTCAAAATACCAGGTAAATAATAACTCACTTAGTGGGCAAAATACAGTAAAAATAAATACAAGGTAAATAATTGGCACAGCAGTCAAAAACACAGGTAAATATACCACTAAATAATGGCACAGACAAAATAGCAGGTAGTAAAGGTGGCACACAAAATACCAGGTAAATAATCACAGAATGGTGCAGTTAATAGCAGAAAAGGAAATAGTCACGGCAAACAGCTAGAAAAATTTTATATTAAAGCCACTAGAATAATCAAGTGTATATATGGATAGCACATTTATTTGTTGCTGATAGAGTTCATTGTACAGGTCATCATTTATCTAATTGTACATATACAGTCTATGTGATTAATAGTAAGACCACATTTTGATATCCCCTGTGTGTTGTAGGAGCTGATTCCCTGAGGGTGGAGTTTGATCGACGATGTTCTACAGAGAGGAGACATGATCCCTTGACAATCTCGGACAGTTCTGGTAGAACCCTGGCTGTTAAATCAGGTAATGACCTCTACTCTTTATGCTTAAAATTTTGTACAACCGTTACGGTAATTTTATCCTCCATTTACAAAATCATATACCCTCAAACCATTATTTTTTCCTCAAACCAGGAAAAATTCAGTTTTGTAGATTATTATAGGCAGATCTATGGGATTCTTAAAAATTTATAATTAACTAATAATTTTTTAGGACGAGAGTGGTCTGATTGGTCCCAGGAGCTTCGAATCGACGGAGATGAACTGCGATGGAAGTTTGTCAGTGACGGTTCCGTCAATGGCTGGGGCTGGTACTTCACCGTGTATCCCATCATGCCTGCTGCTGCTCCCATGGACATGCTCTCTGATAGAACGGTCCTGTCGCGTCCTTCCATTGACCTGGTCACTTGTCTTCTGGACTTTAAACTGGACATTAACCTGGCCAGGAATATCGTCACCAGACTGGCCGCAACCCTAGCTGCTAATGCTCAGCTCAGTTCACTAGGTTGGTCTCTGTGGTTGATATTTTTCTTCCACAGAAGTGTTAGTAAAGTTTAAGGATATTGATGGGAAAAAAATGTGTGAAGTTGATTGAAAAGGTACATTAATAGTGTGTAACTGAGAAAAAAAAATGTATCGTTCAAATGAGACTGTGTACTGAATCTGACTCCAAGTAGTAAAGAAAAGGTCAAGGTTACAGAAAAAAAAGAATGAAGAAATGGAGGAAGTCAATTTATGAGCTCTTACAGTATCTAAGTTCATTTTCAACATGCATTTATGCATATCTAAGTGAAGTAAATATGTCCTGACTCAGAGGTAATTTGCTTCTTACAGTCGTGGAATAATTAAGGTCTCTGTTTATTTCAGGGTCCAGCCAGAGAATGTGGGCTCTACAGAAACTCCATAATATATATTTAAATCAATAAACTGATGACCTCTGACACAACACGGTGCAAGATCATTTTCAATGTCAACAGGTTACTGGCCAGTCCCACCGTGGAGACGGATAGAGCCTGACCTGACATCTTGACCCTCCACATGGATGTTGTTCATGTTTCCAACACCCACTGGTGTATGGCAAAGTTTTATCAATAGACAAGCGTAAAGGGAATGAGAATAAAGGTGAGGAACTATGGTGAAATGGATTGCACAATGGATTAGAATTTTTCAATGTAGTATTATCAAAAATTAGTAATGATCAATCACAAGGCATATAATATACATGTATAGAATATTGTGTTCTAATGCAATCTTTAAAAAATGCGCAAAGGCTTTTAAGGAGCATTTGTATAAAATAGGACAAATGAATAACATATTTTTTAAAAGAAAACTTAAACTTGAATTATAGGAATTTAGTGTAAACATGTACCAGTATAATCTCATTATATCAATTTTGTAGATAATTTCAAGTATATCCTTAGAATTCTTGAAAATTTGCAATTGACTTTTTTTATGTTAAGGGCTACCTGAGGCCCTGCAGAGACGGAGATGAGCTGCGATGGAAGTTTGTCAGGATGGCTCTGTTATGGCTGGGGCTGGCACTTCACCGTGTATCCCATCATGCCTGCTGCTGCTCCCATGGACATGCTTTCTGATAGAACGGTCCTGTCACGTCCATCTATTGACCTGGTCACTTGTCTATTGGACTTCAAACTGGACATAAATCTGGCCAGGAATATTGTCACCAGACTGGCTGCTACTCTAGCTGCCAATGCTCAGCTCAGTTCGCTAGGTTGGTTTCTGGCTGTGAATAAATTTTCTCCCACAGCACTGCTAATGAAATTCAAGGTCAATGTTGAAAAAAAAGGATGTGATTTTAAAAGACAAAGTGCAAGTGGAAAAAATTTTTTTCATTGTGTCCTGAATTATTAAAGTAAAACAGGATATGGAGAGAAAAAATATATTAATCTCTCAAAGCATATCACCTAAAAATCAGTTCATTTTTCAACATACACAATGTGAACAGTAACTCTATAACGAAGTGACATATTGTATATCATATTAACCACAATTTTTGCTGGGCTTTTTTAGCAAAGGTTCTAGTGGCCTTAGCCTTGACCTTGAACTGGACAAAGCTGTAAACTGCAAAAGTGAAGCACACAAGTGGGCGTTTTCCGCCGCTACTGCATGGCAGCAATGTCACCACAGGGATTGTATACAGTTAACTTGTTATATCTGTATAAGGAATTCATTAAATTTCTATGGATATTTCATGTGATGAATTTGATAGCAGGATACAAACAAGTTTTATTCATAAATTTGTGTGAAATTTTCTTACAGAACAGGAATAACAATTACTACTTTATTACAAGCCAGAGAATGTGGACTTTGAAACTCCGGAAACTGATGGTCTGACACCTGGTCATCGTCAATGTCAACACGTTACTGGCCAGTCCCACTGTGGAGACAGCGGAGCCTGACCTGACATCTCGATCCTCCACAGCAGTAAGTACAGTCAAACCTGTCTAATCTAACATGTGTACACATGTACTGACTACCAAGGGACAAAGATTGCATCAGAATTTACAAGATGTCAAATGGCAGTGTGAAAAAACAGGAGAACAGTAAACTATAATTGAAAAAAATGGTGGAAATTTATTGAAATGAATTGCACAGGGAATAGATTAGGTAGTTTTCAAATAAATATAGTATTACATTCATTCTCTCAGATAAATATATCTCCAAGGAAAATCCTGTCCCCATCTTATTGAAAAAGCTTTTAAAGATTAAAGGAACATGGAATGAATCATAATGTTGAAAAAAAGTAGCATTGAATAGACTAGGAAACCTTAATTTGCTAACAATATACTGTGTTTGTACAGCTGCTGAGCAGTTCCTCAGTGACCTCCCTTGTTAAGGGTCTGCCCGAGGCCCTACAGAGACAGTATGACTATGAGGATCCTATAGTCAGGAGCGGAAAACACCTGATGCACAGCCCATTCTTCAAGGTACAGTGTATACTAGTGGGCAGTTATGTTAGAAGGGAAAACAAAGTCTCAGGATTTATCTGGAGATTTCTTTGCATGAAACCTAGATATTTAAGATGGAAACATTTTGCAAAGATTTTTTACCTTTAAAAGACAAAGGGAAGGAATTTTTGTCATTTAAAATGAATTATTAAAGTACAGGGTATGTTGAATAGTAATATATTATCTCTCAAAGCATATCACCTAAAAATCAGTTAATTTTCTACAAAGAGAAAGTGAAACCAGCCTCTCTCAGTAACATATTGAGTATGTCATATTAACCACAATTTGCTGGATTTTTTCAGGTTCTAGTGGCCTTGGCCTGTGACCTTGAACTGGACAAACTGAACTGCTGCAGTGAAGCACACAAGTGGGCATGGTTCCGTCGCTACTGCATGGCGGCTCGCGTTGCCACGGGAATCGTCCAAAGGACCGCCCTGCCAGTCTCTTTCCTGGAGGAAGTCCGAAAAAAGATTCTGGACATTTCATGTGACGAGGAAGAGGATACAAACGCTCATGAAAATCATGAAATTTTCAAACAAGAACAAGATGAACAATTACTATTGTGGTTAAACAGGAAACCGGAGGAATGGACTTTGTCCTGGGGAGGTAGTGGTCAAATCTGGGGGTGGGGCCACAATCACAGGGGGCAGCTCGGGGGAGTGGACGGTGCCAAGGTCAAGCAGCCGGTCAGCTGTGAGGGTCTAGCCGTCACCAGGCCAATTCAACTGGTAGGAGGGGAGCAGACCCTGTTTGCAGTGACAGCTGAAGGAAAGGTCAGAATGCTTTGAATTTTAAAAAAAAAAGCCTTCTTGTTCCTCATTAAATGCATTAAAAATCTGAATAACAGGTCTAATTTGTCAGTGACTCTCAAGAAAAAATTTAAATTATTAAAATTGATAGTGAATTTACTCAAGATGGATAAAGCACAATATTTACAGCATTGATAATCAGAAGACTTAGATTTCTGTCTTTTTTCCTGTAGGTGTTTGCTACAGGATATGGGGCTGGTGGAAGGCTTGGAGTTGGGGGGACAGAGTCTGTTTCCCACCCCACACAACTGGAGTCCATTCAGCATGTGTTTATTAAGAAGCTGGCCGTGAACTCGGGAGGGAAGCACTGCCTGGCCCTGTCTGCTGACGGGGAGGTGTACTCCTGGGGAGAGGGAGAGGACGGGAAACTAGGTCACGGTAACAGGAGGTAAGTAGGTCAAAGATATTAATCTGTTTAAATCAAGTTATATTCTAATAAAAATATTTTAAGAACAATTTTTCACTTGAAAATTTCATTTTAAAATGAATGATTCCATAAAATGTACATACTGGATAGGGTGCCCATTGATAAACTACACTGTATTTATGCATCTTATTAATTTGACTCCACATCAAGATATATCATAATGAAAGGTTTTATCTCATTTAGAATTTAGACTCACATCCACTTAGTATTTGTTTCTTAATAGTGCAAGTATCTTTCTCTCTATTTTATAGTCCCTGTGACAGACCTCGAGTGATCGATTCCCTGAGAGGGAAGGAGGTGGTGGATATAGCAGCTGGAGGGGCACACAGTGCCTGTATCACAGCTAACGGGGAACTGTACACCTGGGGCAAGGGACGATACGGTCGCCTGGGGCACGGGGACAGTGAAGATCAGCCCCGCCCAAAACTGGTAGGTTGGCATGGAAACTTGACATGCTTTTATTCTGAAAGATACATTTAGTTGTGATTGGCTAGGTGTATGAACTAAAGAAAGCAACATTTCTCTATGATATTCAAAGAAAGACATTTTTTAAAATTTTGTTAAATTTCAATGTTCACTAGTTTTGCAAATCTTTTATCTTAAACATTTAGGTATAAGGCTTAGTGTTGTATTTAATGATTTGATAATGTATTTGGAAATCAATGATGTCATATTCTATTTTTATCTTAGGTGGAGGCCCTGAAATCCTACCGTGTAATTGACGTGGCGTGTGGTAGTGGGGACGCCCAGACTCTGTGTATCACTGACGATGACAATGTCTGGTCTTGGGGAGATGGGGATTATGGGAAATTGGGTATGTCCTTGTTTCTCCTATTGTATATTTCTCATCACTCTTGATCCATACACTGTATTGTACATGTTTGTGCATCAGATATTCTTGTAGTTAAACATTTTGAAAGTCTGTATTTGTTCAAATTGCCTTTTCTTTTTCTGAATCCAACTGCAATTCAGTAATCCATTAGGAGAAAACTTCAGTGTCTTAAAAACAGCTGATTTGTGTGTTTTAAATAGGTCGTGGAGGAAGTGATGGCTGTAAAGTGCCAATGAAAATTGAGACACTGATGGGTCAGGGGGTCATGAAGGTGGAGTGTGGATCTCAGTTCTCTGTGGCGCTCACTAAAAGTGGAGCTGTCTTCACGTGGTAAGGAAAATTATTTTACAGTGAATAAAAATTGCATTGGTTTAAAATATCAATGCATTTAGAGAGCCATATAAATACTGTAAATCAACTAGAATTGTTCCTGTAATCTTTTATTAGCCTTTCGGTATTTTGAAATCAATTCTTGAAAATTAATTTTTGCAACGTAAGAAACACTGTCTCTAAGTACACAGTGGTTTGCGGCTAAAATATTTGCTTTCAATGAGAGATGTGTTTTGAATATTTATCATCAGCTGTCCTACAAATCCTTGATTAAGTACATGTAAAGTAATGACAAGATTTTTATAATTTGAAGTTTCTCCCTTTCTATCAATTTTTGGCTCCATGTGTAAGTTTTCTTTAATGAAATGTGTTTTGAATGACTTGTCCTCCTTTATAGGGGTAAGGGAGACTACCATCGTTTGGGTCACGGATCTGATGACCATGTTAGGCGCCCCCGCCGAGTGTCAGCTCTCCAGTCTAAGAAGGTCATCGACGTGGCCTGTGGTTCCCTACACTGTGTGGCCTGCACTGATACTGGTAACTAGTATAAAGATATTGTAATTGTAAATTTATTGTATTTATCCCATCTCAATTATCCCTTGTTTATAGCAGACCTGTTTGAAAGATATGAAATGTTACAAAAAATTTTAAAAAAATTTGAATCCTGTAAAAACTTTAATATTGTAGCATTGAGAAGTACATAAATTTTAGCAATTTTAATTGTTTCACATGGTCAAGTATTTAGAAAAATAAATGGAGTTTCTGTTAAAATTTATTTCACATACCCAATTGAGATTTAAAAACAGAATTTAAATAATTGTTGATATCACAAATGTACTGACACTCTACATGTGTATAGGTGAAGTGTATTCTTGGGGAGATAATGATGAAGGACAGTTAGGAGATGGAACCACCAATGCCATCCAAAGACCCCGCCAGGTGGTGTCACTGCTTGGTATGTACAACTTTCTTCTTCAACAATTTTTTTACAGCTTGTAGCCAGCAACACTGTTGCACAGAATTTGTATTGTACATTATCAGTTGTATTTATTGGGTATTGAATTACTGGCAAAGTTTGATTTTTTGTGAAATTCTCCGATTCTAAGTGTTTATTTGAAAAATGTACATGTAGGTAAGAAGATCAATCGTGTGGCCTGCGGCTCTGCCCACAGCTTAGCCTGGTCCACCAACAAAGCGGTCAGCGCCGGTAAACTGCCCACCGCCATCCCCATGGAGTACAACCACCTACAGACCATTCCCATCACCGCCCTGAGGAACCGCCTGATGCTGCTCCACCACTTCTCTGACCTCTTCTGTCCCTCCATTCCCATGTTTGACCTTCAGAACAGAAGTCAAGGAGAGGTCAGGAATGACATCATCACAGGACTGGACAATCTGAGGGGGGTCATTGTGTCCTCAGTCAAGGTATTTATTGTAAACGCCAAGACATCAAGGAAGTCGCCAAAACATCAAATTTTACTTTCTTATAACCAAGATCCTCTATTATATAAATAAAGAAGGAAGATGTGTTACCTCAATAATTATATCTGATGACTTTTTATGGGATTCATAGAATTAACTTTTTATCAGAGATTACCTTCTAAATGAGTTCTTTATAACTTTTTGTTGCTATTTACCTTAGTCACTGGAAATAAGATAATGAGAATAATTTTTTATTATAAATAACACCTTGGTATGATTTTTTTTTTATATGTGTATAAAAGGGACTGCATGCAGCTAGCTTCTTCAAAAAATTGCATTGGTACATTGAATAAATGATAGGATGGTGATAAATTTGACTCATTTTGAATTTATAGGAAGCTGCCTTCAGAAAAGTAGTACAAGCCATTTTTAATACTAAAAATCTTTTTCTATGGTGAGAGACAAACACTGTGTGGCCTGCATGGACCAGTATTGTATTTATCTTTCAAACATTGTTTAACAGACCTACAGGTATGTGTGTTGGGGGGTACACATATTTCACATAAGATATATCACAAAGGGAGGGTCACCATATTGTAGGTAAAGGTAAGCGGGAATAAGAAAAGGGAAAGATGCTATAGTAGAAAATTGACATTTAATGTAAAATATGTAAGGGGAATGTTCCGTAAGAAGAGAGAGGAACACTTGATCCATGCACAGATTCTTCAGTGTTATTATTTTATCACTATGCACCAATATCTAATGACCATAAAGATATGGTTACTGTTTGGTCGAATTTTCAATTTCACCCCTTTCCGTTATCATATACATGCATGTATACCAGTAGTTTAAGATAATATACATGTGCTTTGTGACTTTTTATATATACCTATTTCTCCTTTGATTTAGGTGAAGAGAAGAAAAGAACATGTCAAGTAGTAAGGGAATTATGCTGGCTTAATAAATAGATGGCACTTATAAAGTTATATATAAATATAAGAAGGACAGATGGCCAGTATACTGATCATTTTAGCGGATTCTGATGTTACCACACAGAGTCTAAAAGTTCTTTATAAGTTTGCTAGGTCAGTACAGGCTACAATCCATGAAAAATGAATAACACCCTTCGATTTTTTTATGTGTAAGGGAATGCTTGCTTTCTCTACAAGGAGTAAATGATAGGATGGTGATAAATTTGTCGTATTTTGAATTAATAGGAAGCTGCCTTCAGAAAAGTTGTACAGGCAACTATGGTGAGAGACAAACAGCATGGACCAGTGGTGGAACTTAACAGACTACAGGTATGGGGGTGTACACATATTATAAGCTGGGGAGGGTCCATATTGTAGGTAAAGGTAATAAGGAAAGATGCTATAGTAGAAAATTGACATTTTTAATTAAGGGGAAACATAAGAAGAGAAAGGAACACTTGATCCATGCACAGATTCTTCAATGCAATTTTTGTTATTAATATGCATCAATATCCAATGACCATAAAGAATGGTTACTGTTTGGTCAAATTTACAATTTCACCCCTTTCCGTCATCATATACATGTATACCAGAAGTTTAAGATGATATACGCATGCTGTGGATGATAGTACCTTTTCTTTGACTCCAGGTGAAGAGAGCCCGTAGTAAGGGAGGTTACGCTGGACCGGATGGCACTAAGTCTGTGTTTGGACAGATGGCCAGTAAACTGTCATCATTCGGAGCAGACAGTCTGATGTTACCACACAGAGTCTGGAAGGTCAAGTTTGTAGGTCAGTATCAGTTTCTCCATAAAGAATGAAATTTATATATCCCAAATACCATGGATTATCAAAGTATTTTGAATCCTTAGAATCTGTTCCTGGTTATTATTTAAGTTTTTTGTAAATGAAATCAATATACATGTATAAACTGAACAGATTAGTCTTGCCTTGATAAAGAATGGAAGATATTTTTATTATTTAATAACATATTGTAAATAATTATTTAAACTGAGCTTTATCTGTATAATTTCAATGATGCACAGAGACTAATTTTGAACTCTGACCTTTAGGAGAGAGTGTGGATGACTGTGGAGGGGGTTACAGTGAGTCCGTGGCCGAGATGTGTGACGAGTTACAGAATGGCTCCCTCCCCCTCCTCATTGTCACCCCCAATGGACGGGGAGAGTCCGGGGCTAACAGAGACTGCTTTATCTTCAACCCCATGGCCAAATCTCCAGTGCATGTCAACATGTTCAAATTCTTAGGTATGAGTTATTTTCATTAATTGTTTTCAGGCCAATTATTTTTACATTAAGATTGTTCATAAAACATTCGAGCTCTACAAGAAAGAAGCTGATAAATTACCTTAATATGAAACCACATTCAAATTAAAGGACATGTAGATATTATTTAAAAATATAATCTATAGTTGAAATATTACAAAGAGAGTAAAAAAGATGTTTCTGTATTCATTAACATTCAGGTAAGCTCTTTATCAGTGTTTCGCCTGTATTTTTTAGGTGTGTTATTTGGCATAGCCATTAGAAGTGGGAGTCCCCTGAGTCTGAACATTGCGGAGCCTGTGTGGAAACAGGTGGCTGGGATGCCCCTCAGTATATCTGACCTGGCAGAGATTGACAAAGACTGTGTCCCAGGTATTGTAACAGTTAAAAAATGTTCAACTACATGTACTGTGAGTTTTTGAATAAATCAATATTTCAAAGTATGAATTTAAAGAAATCTGAAAAAAGGTTGTGATATTGCTTTTTGTAGTAAGAAGTTTATTGTGTATCAGTAAGTGATGGGTGAAAAAAGTTAGTATGCTTGAATAGTATTGTTAATTTGGCTTTTTAGGTCTGATATGCATAAAAGATCTGACCGATGAGAAACTGCAGGCAGTAGAGATGCCCTTCAGTATCCCCAGCTCTTCTGGTCAGGAGGTACAATTGTCAGCCAAATACAGCAAGATAACTCCTGCAAATAAAGTGGAGTACATCAAACAGGCCATTAATTACAGGTAAGAAAAGTGTGACCCAGAAATGTTTATTAAAAGTATTCAGAGTTTAAATCTGCATTGATATTGTGCTTTGTTAAATTAAGAAAAATATAAAGAGATTTCTTGGAAGGGTGATATCCCTTTGTGAAGGATATGAAGGAGACATAATTACTGTATACAGGGTTATTTTCGCCCTGTTTTATTTTTGCCCTTTCACACTTGCAGCCAATTTTACTCCATTTTAAATTTGCCCAGTCACCGTTTTGTTTAAGAAAATATATTGTATATTTTGAATTTGAGTGCCCCTGTTTAAATTCGCCCAAACGATGTGTGTGAAAGGGGCGAACTCAAAAGTGTGTGGAAATATTTATGATACAGTTATATTATTGGTAAAAGTGCCCAACAGAGTGTGTGTATTTTTGAGTCACTAGTATTAACATAATTTTACAAAGGAATAAGTTGCTTATAACCAATGAATAATAATCTTTTTACAGATTGCATGAATTTGATGACCAGGTCAGGTGGGTCAGAGAGGGCATGTCAAAGGTCATCCCTGTACCTCTCCTGTCACTGTTCACTGGACTGGAACTGGAAACCATGGTAACTGAAATTCTTAATCACATTCATTCTAATTCTTTTATTTAGAACAAAATTTTGCTTGCTGACAATAAGATTGCATTGATTTTATGAGTGACAAATTTTGTCAAGATGCAAGAAAAAGAGTTTTAAGAAAGTAAATTTTTATGGACTGTAAAATTACTTGTTTTTATGATTAAATTGGATTTTATTTTTTATTTTGAAGAATTATTGAGTCACTAGACAAACATAATATAATTGTTTAAAATCCCATTTTGAGGAAGGACAGGTTACAAAGGAATATGTTACTAAGAGAAAAACAACAAAAATACCCCAATTTCAAAAACTGATTTGACAATAATCTTTTTAGGTTTCCCTATTGCATGAATTTGACTTACTGAAGGTCAGGTGGGTCAGAGAGGGCATGTCAAAGGTCATCCCTGTACCTCTCCTGTCACTGTTCACTGGGCTGGAACTGGAAACCATGGTAACTGAAATCCTTAATTGCATTCATTCAAATTCATTCAGAACATAATTTTGCTTACTGTCAATAAAAATTCATTGATTTCATGAGTGACAAAATTTGTCAAGATGCAAGAAAAGTTCATTTTTATGGACTGTAAAATCACTTATTTTTGTGGGGTAAAGTGGAATGTGGTAGACAAACAAAATACAATTGAAATCCTTAATCACATTCATTGAGTTTATTCTGAACATTATATAATTGTTTAAAATCCCGTTTTGAGGAGGATATGAAATCATGAATCTATTTACATGTACCAAAAGAAAAACAACAAAAATACCCCAATTCTCAAAACTGATTTCACAGTATTTTACTGAGGTTTCCCTATTGTAGGTGTGTGGTAGTCCAGACATACCTCTGTACTTACTGAAGTCAGTGGCTACCTATAAAGGTGTGGACGCTAACGCCCCCCTGGTGACCTGGTTCTGGGAGGTGATGGAGGAGCTCTCTAACAATGAGCGGTCCCTGTTCCTGAGGTTCGTGTGGGGCAGGACCCGCCTCCCCAGGTCCATAGCAGACTTCAGGGGGAGAGACTTTGTCCTGCAGGTCAGTTTTGATAAAGATTAGATTATTCCCAAAGACTGGATTATGGGACTGATAAATCTTTAACTGCACAATATTGCATTCATATTTTATATACAGTTGGACTTTGATAAATCATATAATGATGTCATGGATATCTTGAAGTCAGTTAGAAGTCCTAAATTATGTATTAAATGCAATTTAATGTCAAAATCTAGAATTCTCTAAAATGTTTTTTAATAAGTATCTTCTTCATCCAATTAACTTCAAGCTAATGCTTGACTATATATTTTTCAAGAACTAATTCAAGAAGAATCCTTTTGTGTTTTCTTTTATTAATTGATTTCTAAGTCTTCATTGTACATGTGCAAGTACAGTGTTAATAAAATGTGGAAAATGAATGCTAGTTAAAGTGAATTTAACCAATGAGGGTTATGCAATTTAATGATAATTGGCTTTTTATTTTCCCACAGGTATTAGATAAATATAACCCACCGGATCACTTCCTGCCAGAAAGCTACACCTGTTTCTTCCTGCTCAAGATGCCGCGTTATTCCTGTAAACCCGTGTTACTGGAAAAGCTCAAATACGCCATACACTTCTGTCGCTCCATAGACACGGACGACTATGCTCGAGTGGCTCTCACGGGAGAAATCCTCGTGGACGATACTCCTGAGGCCAGCGATGACTCAGAGGATATTTATAGTATGGAGTCGGATGGAGAAATTGTGGATTCTGACTCCAGTCTGGTCTGAACTTCCGTGATGCTTTCTAGTCTATTTATAGAACGGTCTTGCAGTGTTTTTATTAACCTTGTTATATAAATAAAGATAGTTGGACGTTATGTTTACAGTTGCCTGAAAAGAATTAATAAGAATAAAATATGGACAAGATTTTTGTTACAAAGGACAACAGCTAATAATCTGTTAGGCATATGAATTTATTGACAAATGGAAATACATGTATGCCTGTTTTAAGTTATTTTTCAAAGCCGTAGCCAAATTGTATTGATTTTTTAAAAATTAATTTCCATTGCTTTATTTTTAACAGCGTGATATGAGTGGTAGCTAGTATTTTTACTTTCATTTATGTATATTTATTAGTACTGATCACAAGTTTTTGTTCTCCTTTACTTTTTTTGAAGATAAAAACCCAATATTGTTATTGCAATGACAATTACATTGTAGTATAAATAGAGTGTCCCAGTGTTGGTATTTAATTACCGGTAGGAATTTTTTTTTAAATGAACAAGTCATATTTCTGTAAAATAATATTGTTCATGAAGCATTCAACTTTTGTATAAATATTTATATTGTTAATTTTACCACATAATAGATAAACCAAAGTCTAATCAAATAAAAAGTCCTAGTTAGTATATTTATTGATGGTAGAGCATCAATCTTCATTTATTCCTCAAAGTAGTCACTTTTTAGAAAAAAGAAACTTGCATGAACACCATTTAAAATGTGGTGAAAAACATTTTTTTGCAGTGATATGTTGCTAGTTTTTTGTTTTCAGTATTGTAGTGTAGTAGTTTATAAATCAGTCTTAATTCTGTGTTTGGAATTGTTTTATTGCATTAATATTTGATGCTATGTATATATACTGATATTTTACAAGGCGATTGACTGGTTAATGTATATTGCCGTCTCTGTAAGAGACAATATAATTTTAGCAATTTTCATTGCTTCAGAAAACTAATTACTGATACATGTATCTATTACTAGAAACACAAGTTGATTATTCAATAATTTTTACTAGCTGTAATTTCATTTAGTTATTACAATTCTTTGAATGAATAAATTTCAGTACAACTTTATTGCAGTGATAAAAATTTCAAATTGTGCTCAAAACAGAATTGTTTCTTCTTTGGGTGATATTGCTTATATATGTCTGAATGGAGAATTTGAGAAAGGTAGTTAAGTATTGGCTTAAATGCTTTTTAATTCTTAAAATTGACACCTATACCATTACTTTCATACAAAATGAGAGTTTTAAAACTTTGAAAGACGACAAATAAAATTTATGTCATGTAAGTTAATCTTGAGCAGATTGTTTGCATTTAGAAACCATGATAGAAAACTCTTTCCAATCACAGTACATGGTACAGCAGTACATTATTTAGCACCTAGTGAAATGTAATGTGAAAAGTTGTGATGAAGTTTGTCAAAACTCTATAAATTATTTATGCTGTGTGTTTGAGTTTTGTTATGAATCATGTATTTGTTTTTAATTAAAAGTTGTTATTAAATGTACAAGAGTCCTTATGCTTTGATTTTTTTCAAATAAAAAATGTAAAAACAAAACTCTCTGTGTTTATTTTTATTTCCCAGTTACCCGTAATCAAAGATGTGGGAGCTTAATGTTTTTGCTCTAGAACAACTGTCTGTCTTTAAATCTTACACCTATCCTATAACTTTACACTCTTTGGCACTATGGATTTCATATTTCACATATGTATTCCTTGTGACATAACTTTTCACCTTGACCTCTGGGTTTGACACACTTTTCCCAACATTTTATCAAACTTTCACCTTGGCCATATGTTTTGAATGGTTGATATTAAGCCTATCATATAAGATAAGTGTAATCCTTGTGAAAAGACCTTTCCTTGTTGAGATTGGACAATTTAGTCCCTTTGACTTTGAAATTGGAGTTGTACCACCTTTGAAAAACTCTAACCTTGGCTATACCTTTTAAATGTTGATTTCTATGGCTTTCATATCTTAAGGTGCATTCCTTGTGACAAGGTCTTTGGCCCTTTGACCTTGAAGTTAAACTTGCATTTGAAAACTTTTTAACCTTTGTCATGAGCTGCCATGCGAGTAAATTAGTTTCACATTTACACATCTTGTTTATTCAGTTGTACATGTATAAACATGTAATACATTGAAATTTACCTGTATATTAAAATCCTAGAATCTTTGATACTGTCAGTATGAAACAGTTTTAATCAAATCAATTGTCAAGTTTAGTCTTTCTTGTTTTACAGAGACAAAATGCTCAAAAAAAGAGAGATGTGTTTGTGAAACACTGATGCTATGGATAGTAGTTGATGACAAAGGCTTAAGTTTATCAAATGCAAGTCAAACTTGCAAGGTCAAAGGATAAAAAATATTGTTAACCAAAGAAAGGACTTGTCTCAATAAATATACTAGTGAAACATAGGTAATCAGAGATTACAGAGCTCACCTAAACGAATGTTGTCTTTAAGTAAGGCAAAGCCACACAATTACCCAACAAACAGTGTACAATGTACATGTACATCCAAAAAGTTTTGATCTGATACTTTTGAATAGACCTGTATAAAAACTTCAAACTAGTTCTTCAATCTTCATCACGAAAATGTAATTAAAATTCAGCATTTGAAGCAAGTTTGAGAGTTTTCATCACTTGATGCATCATTCGTGCAAGTCTGGTTTATATAAGCCTTATAGTTTCCTGGTAATAGACCTGCACCCATAACTTTTACCTGCTCCATTATCTTGAAAAATTATGTCAAAATCAGCATCCGCAGCAAATCCATTAGTGAGCATCCTAAGATGTATCATCCATACAGGTTTGCACAACATAGAGCTCAAAGTTACTTGGAAATGAAACCTGCATAAAAATTTAACCTCTTCACTCATCCAGATAAAAATGTAGGTCAGATTCAGCATCCGAAGCCAGCCTGGTAGAATGCATCCTTAGATGTATCATCCATGCAAGTTTGGTCATTAAAGAGCTCATAGTTACTTGGAAATGAATCCTGCACCAAAAACTTTAACCTGTTCACGCATGCAGAAAATGTAGGTCAGATTCAGCATCCGAATCAAGTATGGTAATATGCATACTTAGATGTACCATCCATGCAAGTTTGGTCATTATAGGTTTAATAATACATGTATCTTGGAAATGAAACCTGCACCAAAAACTTTAACCTGTTCACTCATGCGGAAAATGTAGGTCAGATTCAGCATCCGAAGCAAGTCTGGTAGTATGCATCCTTAGATGTATCATCCATGCAAGTTTAGTCATTATAGGGCTCATAGTTCCTTGGAAATAAGGCCTGCACCAAAAACTTTTAACCTGTTCACTCATGCGGAAAATATAGGTCAGATTCAGCATCCGAAGCAAGTCTGGTAGTATGCATCCTTAGATGCATCATCCATGCAAGTTTGGTCAACATAGGGCTTATAGTTACTCGGAAATGAGACCTACACCAAAAACTGCACCAAAAATGTTAACCTGCTCCAAAAACATTAACCTGGTCATTCCTTCCCTCAAATTGCAGCATCTGTAGCTTTGACTGGTACAGTGAAACACACTAGAAACATCTTCCATGCATATCTAATCAATATAGGACATAGAAGTTCTGTAAAAGAAAATTGCTCCAAAAAAACTTAACCTTAACCTGGGACGCCGACGTGAGGGTATTACATAAGCTCCCCCAACTTCGTTGAGGTGAGCTAAAAATGAAAGCCCAAACACCAACCATTAAAAGTGATGACAAAATTTCATTTTTGTTAAAAGTAGGTTGAACTCAAAGGTCAAGGTTAAAAGATTAATTAATGGTACTCGTGGGGGCCTTGTCTTAAGAAATACACGTGTGAAATATAAGCCCTAGCACCAACTGTTCATAAGTTATGACCAAGGTAGGTACATATTTTTTTTTTTCAAAATAAGGTCAAACTCCAAGGTCAGAGTCAGGAGGTCAAAATTGTTTGTATCTCAACAAAGGTCTTGTCACAAGAATTTGGAAGGTCCAATTTTAACTATTCAAAATTAAAACATTTTTGTTATGTAATCCTTTGTGTTTTTAGTACATTATATGGCATAATAGATTTGGATATTTAAAACCTGTACATTAAGTCACCTGTAACCGTACATTAAGTTGACAAAACTCTCAATTCTTAACTTAATCGACAACATTTTGTCAACTTAATGTACAATTAAAGGTAACTTAATGTACAGGTTTTAAATGTTGAAAACAATACATAATTAAAATAGGCGATTAAATTTTTAATTTAACGCACAATCATGCAAAAATATAAAACAATTGTATATGAAATGTTCAACAGTATATCATCATTGGAAATGACAAATCCAATGCAAAAAAGACACATGTGTAAATCCTGATGCATAATAACTCTAGAACATCCACATCCAGAACAATGCAAAAAAGACACATGTGTAAATCCTGATGCATAATAACTCTAGAACATCCACATCCAGAACTTTTATTAAAAAACAAACGGTTCATCCTCTTCACAAAATTTGTAAATGAATGCTGGACGTGGTAGATCCATTCCATGAATGTTTAGAATATATCCAACAGCAATTTAAATTTAAAAGAAAAAGGCTTATTTCCCGATGAAATGATAATCTCACTAGATGCACTAGAGGTGGAATCATTTTTGGGACAGAGATCACAAATTTTATCTTTTCATACACTTGCCATCATCTGAATCCCTCATATTTCCATGAATTATTCCATTTACTCTCTGCTGCTATTTATTGTTGGTTCAGTTGTGGGATCAAACTGTAATAGATTTGTGGCCCGTTTTTTCTGTTATAAACTGTTTCCTCAAACTTCATACAAGGGGGTCGCCGTTGTTGTTCTCAAAGAATGTTTCGTATCACAGTGTCCCTTAAATCCCGATTGTTAAAAAAGATTTGCGATAGCTTTCGTCAAAACTTGAACACCAACTTCAGAATCTGAAAACCTACAAGCATCTGCTTATGTCTACCTACTGTAGAGTATTTACCACACTTTGGCCCGTATTTTGGAGAAACATGTATTACTTTCTCCTTCCGATGAGGGCATCACTCCTTCCGATGAGGACATCTTCACTCATGAAGCTTTACATGGGAAGTAGTCAGAAATCAAGTGAGCTATCATATAAATCTAAAACAATACAGCTATTGTTTTCACCTCCACTCTCTGGACAATCAAGTGTGTTACGTAGTCATAGCAGAGGCGTAGTCACAACCTTAAAAGTGAGGGGGCTCAAGTCCAGAAATTCTTTGACAAGCCAAAAAAAAAAAAGTTACCTTAAAAGTGAGGGGGCTCAAGTCCAGAAATTCTTTGACAAGCAAAAAAAAAAAAAAAAAAAAAAAAAAAAAAAAAAAAAAAAAAACCAAACCGAAAAAGTGACAGTTTCCCAAACTCGAAAATCCTATTTCGTGGGGGGGGGGGGGGGGGGGGGGGGGGGGGGGAGGTGGCCAACTTTTTTTTCAAAGGCAAGTTACTTTCAATTTCAATTTTTTAACCCGCATTATACAACTATATAATGCCAAGAGCAATGCTTAGGCTTACTCATTTGTTGAACATAAAAAATGCCATATTATTTCAAAATAGCTGTGATTTTGTTCTTCATTAAAAAGTGGGGGGGCACAGACATACTCTTGCCCCCCCAGATCTGAAAGTGGGGGGGCTAGTGCCCCCGCTGCCCCCCCTGTGACTACGCCTATGCATAGGAAATACATAACCATCACCTGGGACAGTTTATTAAGTTAACAATAGAGAAAATGTTTTAAGTAGGATAAAGTCCTCAAACTGTCCATTCTGTGAGAGAAAAAACTATTCTCGGCCCTTCGGGCCTCGAACAGTTCTTTCTCTCACAGAATGGACAGTTTTCGGACTTTCTCCTTTACGTAAAGGGCATGTTTAAAAATTAATACATTTTAGCGAAAATGGGACAATCTCCAAGATTTGAGAATTCTCTCAAGAAAGCTAGGTCCTGTCACAAAGAATGCATATGTGAAATATGAAAACCATATAGCTCCATCAAACCAAACGGGTAATATTCAAGTTTTTGTGGACAAACAGACAGATGGACGTACAGGGAAAAGGCGACATTCCCCTGAATCTTCGTTTACAGGGCTAAAAAATTGCATTTACTCATTTCCGTTGAACACGTAGATAGCAATTTAAGAATTTTCGGTTGGGGGAAGGGGGAGAGGCACTAAACCTATAAAAATTCCACGACAAGTAAGAAAAAAATCCTTGATGGGGGTGAATCTATTAGGATTTTTTTCTATCCTATACTATTATATCGGCTAAATTATTGGAGACACTCTCCTCTCCAAGGTTCCTATGCATGCCCATGTGATACAATTTTCGTTCTTTTTAGTTTTAATTTCTGAGATTGGCTTACAATGTATATTGTTTGACTATATATATATATACCTCTTTCAAGTAACATTGTAATACAGCTGCAGCACAGTGACGTAGCATCGTTTTTGAACGGGGGGGGTGGGGGGGGCTAGAGAAAAAAAAATTACTTACCTGAAAAAGTTGACAAGCAAAAGAAAAATCCTATTTCGTGAAAAAGTTGACAAGCAAAAAAAAAATCCTATTTCGTGTGTGTGTACTGTGGAAAAAAAAGCGGGAGCAACCAACCTTTCAATGTACATTTTCAATGGTAAAAGTTATGTTTGCAAAAAAGTGCCTGTAGCTTAACAGAATAAAATAATGTGTGCCGACAAAAAAAAAAAATAATCCGGGAAAATTTCGGCTATATCGTAAACATTCCCGCCAAAATGTCATTCATATAACATCCGGTGCTGCAAAAAAACCCCGCTAAATTTAACTCCAGCCTCTTGGTAAACAAGCCCCACTGTAAGTTAAAAAGCCCAGAAAAAATCTTGTTGAAAGTTGCAGTATTTTAAATGAATAACCTTTTTCTTACATTTTCTATAAGCACCAAATTAGATGAGATCAAGGAGGATCGTTTTAAAGCTGGCGCATCAGTTCATCATCAAATCATTGCTGGTCAGACTGCATGTTCATAACTTCATTGCATAACCTGATAACGTCATTGGATTTACTTTTTTTAAGACGGGAAATTTCAACAGTGTCTTTTTTCAAGAATAATAAAATAATAATAATAATAATAATAATTTCATTTTAATTGCAGGTGCCAGACAGGATAAAAACAACAGTACTGTATAGTAGAGTTTCAAAGATGCAATAGTTGTGCACAGAGGCAAGCTTAATCAAAAAGGAAAAACAACACACATACACAATGCAAGATTAGTGTAAGAACATTTAGGAAGGAAGGTCTTGCACAAGGAATACACCTGTAGAATATGAAAGTCTTAGCTTGTACTAATGGCTTATAAGTTATGGTCAAGGTTAAATTTTTTTTTTTTTTTTTTTAAAAAGTGGGCCAAACTCTAAAGTCAAGGTCAAATGGTCAAATATTTTACACATGCAAAAAATAAAAGTCCTAGCACCAACCAAATAGTTGTGGCTGTGGTTAAAGTTTGGAAAATTATAAACAAATATTTTGAATTAATTATTCTTATTTGCAAAGTAATATTTTGTTTATTTCAATGCAAAATTAAAAAAGATTTTATATAAACCAATTAATATATTGTGATACATATTGTATCGTGGCTCAAATATCTTGATACGTATCGATATAGAAAAAGTTGTATCGTCCCAGCCCTAACAAGGAATAAACTTGTGAAATATGAAAATCGTCCGGGGGGGGGGGGGGGGGTTGTGTTTAAGAAGATATGCCAACCATATTTTGTGTGCAACACTTCAATTTGACAGCAATTTACAATAACATTTACCAAAGTCCTTGGAAAGGTCAAGGTATTTCAGTGGCATATGTCAAATACTTGAGGCATTAGAAAGTCTTTGAACAGTATAATAAACGTGTATGCATAAAGTAAGAACATGGGAATAAATTGAAAGACATTGAGCTTTTTACATTGAGAATATTTCAAAGCTTACTGGTGTTCAAAATGTTGAGTTGAATGTTGAGAGTGTTATTAGTGACATTATAGTTGAATCTGATGTCTTCTGTATTTGCACCAGGTTTATTAAATGGCACCATTGAATAGAAAAAGATTCTCTGAAAGGTTAGTTTTCTAGCTAGGTCACTACAGTTCACATTGCATCTTAGTGATTTCAAAATATTCTTTCATCGATGTTATAGTATGAAATACAATATGAACTGAAGTTTCTTTATCTATCATTGAAAAGCACATTGCAAAATACTACATATATTATATACATAAACTGAAGCTGTTGACCACAAGTAATTTGAGATAACAATCACAAAAGGGAGACTGTTTAAAGCTGTGATAGGAATTTAATTCTCGCTTTTTTTAATTTGCAGGTATTGAACAGTGGTGTTTAAAGGTCTTGACTAGGGAGTAATGCCTTTTATAGAGGGATTGGGCCATTGACAATAGCTTGATCTAAATAACATGTAAGACACAATAAGATTGAGACTTTTCCAGTATATCTCCTATCAGGTCAAATTTGCTAGTATACGTGTACATCTTTCTTTGAAGCAATACTGAGAATACCAAATGAAATAGATACATTTGATTATTTGAATGAAATATAAGTGCATAGATGAATTTCTTTGCCCCGCTTAGCAGTTTATACTTTTCCATGCTCCAGTGATTAGTGTTATAAGGTGTTTATATGTGGAATTTTAAATGCAGGGTATAGGGAATTCATAACAGGTAGTGCTTGCATTACATGGAGATGGTCGTGGTTTGATGACTTGGACTGAAACTGAAATTAACAGCCCGGAAAGAAAAACCAACAAGTCCATTAACAGATCAATAAAGAAATTAGGTGTCCATCAAAACTTCTGGTGATGCCATTGTGACCAGAGAGCAGGACGAATTGCATTGTTCCATCCGATTGAGAGTAGACATGGATTGTACAGTGTTGGAATTCCAGTGAGGAAACTGACATGCTGTAAATTTCATGTATCTATTGTAAACAAAGGTAAGTCATGCTGAGTTGTGTTTTTTTCCCTAGAAGTATTGTAAAGCATGCATGATTATATATTTTTAGGTAATTATTAGGGAGAATAACTGAAACATGAAATGCTTTTCAAGTGAAACACTTGTCAAAGCAGTGCTTTGTCATTCATCAGTGAATTCAAAGAAGAGCTTTGTCATTAATAAAAAAAACATTCATGCAAACGACTGTTTGTGATTGTTATCTCAAATTGGCCCAATCAATTTTTAAAGAAAATCGAATAAAATACATGTATTTGCAAAATTCCACTTTATCTGTAAATATCTAGCTATGTCTGATTAAATATCCTGTTCAATATAGTAAGATTTACATATGATTGGTTCAATGGTTCCTTTCTGTTTGTAAAACACAATTTAATGCCACTTCCAAATATCTAACAGTTTTCCTGTTTGATTTGAAATATGGTAATCATGTCCTTCTCTCGAGAAATAAAATATTTCATACGTCAATAATATTTTTTGGTAGATGCATTACCAAGGGGCAAGGAATGTGCATTATTGATATACTTTGAAAATGCAACAGAATTTTCTTTGAAGATTGCAAATATGGTTTTTGGAGTCAAATGAAAATTAAATGAAAAATTTATAAAAAGGGGAATTTCCAGACAATTTTCTGATTTTTTCTTTTGATGATGAAAGTTGCTAGTTTACTGTGTAGGTAGTTCATAACTCCCTCTGTCTGAGTTAAAAATAATTAAGTCAGATTAAAACTCCAGTGCTTTCTGGTCAGAGTGCATTGTAAGTTAATCAAAAATGAAAGTGAGAACTTAGGTTTATGTTCAAAAGTCTTTCCTTCTTTGAAGACATTAATGTTATCAACATTTATCATTATAATATATGTATCGGTACTAATGATTTTCATTCTTTCATCAAGTATATGATATCATATTCTGTATTGTAATTTTTTTTCATATTTGTGAGTAAGGTTGACCTCTCTCTCTCTTTCTCTCCTCCTCTACATGTATAACATTTTAGCTCACATCAGTATTTCTATGAATAAATAATATGAACTACTTTTAGTTGAAGCTGTTTAGTTTATAAGAGGAATTATAATGCTACAGCCCTGTCTCCAGTGACTGAATTGGTGTCCCTGTTCATGTTTTAGGAGCAAGTCTCGATCATTTCAAAGTAACTGTAAAGCTTTTGTCTAGATCAGTGATCCATGCATATTATAGGGTTGAACATTACCATTCTTGCTTCAGATGCTGGATCTGAGCTACATTTCCCAATGATTGAATAGGTTTATAAGTGTTTTTAGAGCATTCAATTCCATTCCCATGTACTGAAAACTTTAAGCTTTACCCAACCAAAATTGCAGGGGTTGATGTCCTAAGATGTCTACGCTAGAAAACTTGCTCAAAGTCTGTATCTGATCTGCATTTTTAGGATGACAGAAGAATTTTAAGTTTTTGGAGTGATTGTATAATCCTGAGTAACTTGGACCAAATTTGCATGGATATTGCATAACTATCAGAACATTCATTTCAAGTGAGATTATGTTATCTTTCTCTAGCTGTTATAGGGAACTTTTGTTAAGGTGGGATTCATTATCTTTGATTACCTGTGTTTTTGTTTTGTGAAATTTCCTCAATTATTATATGGCTTATTAATAAGATACAATTTTTTTGCCTGGATATTTTTGATAAAAGTGAAGGACAGTTTCTTGATGTTGAAAGTCATAATTTACTGTGCAATGTAAAGAGAGAGCTGTCAATAGTCTGTGGGCATGATACAAAGTAATACAATGACTGCGCAACATATGGATCATGCATTGAAGTAATTGCGTCAATAGATGTTTCAAATTTAGCATTAATTTTTATGTGTTCATAATTTCCTTTGAAAGCTACAAGTTCAATGTATGAATGAATCTGTGTATTGAAATTCTGATCTCTGTTGACCTGACCAACTTATGTCTATATAAAGAAGGAAAGCAGTTCAAATCAGCTGTTTGAACACTGAAGTAGTTTATAGTGTATATTCTATGAGGAATGAAGGGAAAGCAAATACTGCCTATCTTAGTTATAGGTCTAAGTGATGGAATTCAAAGGTAATGTTGAAGGTTATATAGTCAATGCAATCGTGTATCTGAAATAATTTAATAGGTCTTGTTGAATATTGCCTGGCCAATAGAAATTGATAGGATTTGAAAAAAGTCATTTAAATATGAGAGAGGTTTTGGTTATTGTTTAGATGTGACTTAAGTTGCAGTTATAAAGGTGTTCAAAATCTTTAAAGAATTTGACTCAAAATGCCTTGGGGTAAATCATCTGATTTTTTGAACAGCAAAATGCATGTGTCCTTAACCCATCTTGATACCCCCACCCTCCATCTTAGACCCTCACCCCTCCATCCTTCTCTACTGACAAAATTTGGAGGCATAGAAGAATCACCATGTCCATCAATTTGTTTGACTTTGTTCGTGGTCCATATGTGTACACAAGGAAACGTAAGACATACATGTATTATGCACAAAGGATTTGATGCTTTTGATAAGTAAGGGTATGTTGTTTCCCTAAACCAAGACCATTCCAGGATTCTGAAAAACAACTTCTTGTCCAAACATTAACATAGAAAATATGAGTCACATTATGGGCTTGAATGATGTTTTGAGGCCATTTTGGACAAAATTCAGGTCAAAGAATTCTGAAGTATAAAGTTCCTTTTCAGGTTAATACTGAGACTGTAATTGTGAGACTGTAATGTATTGGGGGAGGGGGTATGGCTGTCATTTTTTATGGAAAAAAAAAACTGATACAAAAATGTACAGTTGGAGATTTTGACATGATCTAAAAGAATATGGGGGTAGTGGGTGGGTTAAAAATGGGGTGAAGGGGGGCAGCTTCTGGTAGGTCTTTCCTGGTACTTCAGACTGGAGAATGGATGAGGTACTCTCTGCATATACTTTAGGATTACATGAAGATGTGATAATTTTAAGTGTTATGATTAAACCTTTTAAGTGCATTTTTTTCACACAGAAAATCTTATCTAAAAAAATATTACTCATTTTTAAATCTATAAGGTTTTTCATAAGTAAATATTTCTTTTAAGGATTTACAAAGCTTTCATGTTTAAATTGAAAACACGTATATCAAAGATTTTTTTAATACAGCACTTATGTATTAAGATTTTTTTAATGTTGATTTAAGTCTTAAGCTACCCATAATACCCCCGGTACTTTTTCCTACAGCATCACTTGAACTCTTAAGTGACCTTTAAGTATGTGAAATATACATCTATAGTATAGTGCCAAACACGAGCAAATAGTACATGTATGTTTCATGAACCAGGTATACAAAAAACACCTTTCAAACTTTATCACAAAGCAATCTTCATTGCCTGACCCTGTATATCAACGATTTAAATTTGTGTATTTAAATGTTTTTCCTTTCCAAGTCAGACCTATTACGGATTTAAGACCATTGCCCTGGCACTGAAATATACCATGCTGTTATGAAGTGAAATAAATGTATAAGGAAAAGTAAGGTGATTTTTTTAAGGTTCTTGTGAGGTCAAGTCAGCAAATTTGCTAAGTACTACCATCTGCAATGGAAGTATAACCATATAGACTCTGATTTTGTACTGGTAATGGAATCTTGGGTGGTACATGTATTGTACATGGTGCATTTTGAGTTTGGAGGTATAGTTTTTGTTAATGCCAATTTTGATGTCTCTTTTAAGTTGCAGGTTATATTTATATATAAAAAATTTACTATGGGTTTTTTACCTGCAACTTCAAGATTAATTTGATATGGTACCTTTGATGCATTGCTTTGAGCACTAAGTGGATGAATTGTGTTGAAATAAAATTTTGAATGGATCTAACAATTGAATATAATGTATGCATATACTAAATAATCTTAAACTTATAAAAAGAAATAAGGACATTTACAACATTCTAGATTTAATATTAAATCCATTTTAAATTAATATTAGCAAATTGAAACCTTGAAGGAGGAGTTTCAGAAAAAAATTTCATTATAAGATTCGTACCACTTGTAGTAGTAAACTAAAATTTTCAGAAGCTTAGCTGTCTCACCTGGTCATAAAATCCCAATAAAATGTAAAAATCAATCAACAAGTACCTGTCACAGCTGTGTGCAGTGCAGATGATAAACGAGCTGCATCAGCCATTGTTAACGACAAGATACAGTGTACGATATTTGTACTAAACATTGTGAATGGAGATTTTAATGAAGGACATTTGAAATTTTTCATTTTGAATTTGAAGTTCTGGAATTGTGTGGGATTTTTGTAAATTCACAATTCAGGTGAGACTAATATAAGTTTGCTACATCAATACTTGAGGTCTATAATTACAGATGTCAAAATTGATTCATTTACACGATAAAGCTTTTAGAAATTTGAGCTGTAACAGGTAGCCTTTATTGAGTTTGAATATCGGGGACAAATGTGTACACATTTGGGGGAAGGGGTATAGGGGTGGGTGGGGGTGGTGAGTTGTGGAAATCTTTTTGAAATTGTGTTGTAGGAAAAGAATTCTGAAACAAGATGTGTTTGTGAAACACTATGCTCCCAGCAGCAACAAAGTTCGAAAAATCTTTTTTTAGCATAAAGGTCACAGTCAAGGTCACAAGGTCATTGACCTTGGTATCATTTAAAGGAGCTCAATTAGTAGAGTATGCATACGAAATATGAAGTCCTATCTCCTATGGTTCAAAAGTTAGTTCGAAAAAGCTTTTTTAGCATATAGGTCACAGTAAAGGTCACCAGGTCATTGACCTTGATGTCTTTTGAAAGAGCTTAATTAGTGGAGTATTCATACTAAATATGAAGTCTCTATCTCTCACGGATCAAAAGTTATGGTGAAGGATAAAGTTGACAACAGCCAGACAAACAGACAGACAGGACAAAAACAATATACCATATGCCCCAAATCTATCGATATGCAGTCCAAAGTTACGAAAATAATGAAGCTATAGCAAACAAGAATAGAAATAGAAATAT